AGAAGGTTTGATTACATCAATAAAGAGATCATTCAAATAGCCTGTTGAATAACTTCACTTAATGCAGGTGGAGGTATCCACAAGAAGCTGTGCTACAAAGCAGATGTTTGGCTTGAATGGAAATATTTTCACATCAGCTCACCAAGACAGTTGCTAAAAAAAAAACCCCACTATTACTGTGGCATGAAGTTTGCATGCGGATCCTTAAATGCAACACATGACAATTTACTCTGTTTAGGACAACTAGAATCTTGGATCCAGCTTTAAGAACAAGGGTCATCTGTAATACAAAGGAATCAGCACAGAGCTGTGGACAACATATATTATCTTTGTAGTGCATATTTTTAAAAGCATTTCTTTCCTGCTGTAATTTGGCAGTTTCAGGGTAACAGGAAAGGATGGAGAAAATCAATTACATTTCAACTTAGCGGTGCTCTGAGGAAAAGGACCGTAAGTACTCTGTTAGCACTTGCTCATCAATTCGTGCATGGCTGGAAATTTGGACACACACCCATTATTTGCAATCTACAGGCTCTTCAGTTACATTTGCTCTTGGTCCACATCTGTCTTCACCTCCGGTTGCTCATCTCAGCATGAACTAGGTCTTGGGGCAGCAGTCCCACAAAGCATCTGGCACAAATTCTGTGGTTTCCTTTGGGAAGAAACAAGGACACAGCTGTGCCAAGCACCTAAAACTAAGCAGTGCTCCCTAGTTCTCTAAGGTAGACTGTTGTTACATGGATGTTCAAGTTTAAGCCTGAGAACATGAATGGCTTCTACCTTATCTATGTTAAGTAATGCTGCCTGCATTGGCATTGTCCACACTGAGCTTGCTAGCAAAGAGGAGTCTGCCGCCAACTGAATCATGTATTGACATGTGAATTAATGTTTTAAAGTACACTCTATCATTTATTATATACAAAGGGTACCAAGCTCTGTAACTGTTTATTAAAAATTTCTGTTTTCCTTCCCATGGCTCTAACCCAAATCTCATTTACAAGTGGGATTGTGTTGTCTTATTCTGCATAGTGAACACCTGACCTTTTATTTCTACAGAAGAATTTCCAGAAACAATGCCAAAAGCATGCAGTGCCACTGACAGGGTGACACTGTAGCACTTTATATTCATATTTTCTTGGGAAAAGTATTTAGAAAAAGCTGCAGGATTCTAATTAAACTTATTCACTTGACTATGCATGTCCACAATAACAAGATCATATACTAATGTGAACATGACCCCGACATATACAGGGTTGGTCAGAGTTATACACACTGGGGGCTCCAGCACTTCCTCCAGCACGAAACTCTGCTGGAGAGAGGATACTTAAAGCAAAGAAATTTCTCAAGTGTGATGGTAATGGAACGTAAGTGCTTTACTGATAGGGACTGTGCTTAAATGTCACTGATTTAAATCCATAGACTTTTCATTCCATGTTTACACTTAACATTTCCCTCAGTACTTTGCTATTACATAAATATATCTGTGATGATTATCTCACCTGCACCTGGATGCAACCCAGACATTCATTAAATAACCATTACAAGATTGGTAGTACTGTTCCTGTTTTACAGATACCTGCAGGATTGTTCTCAACAGCGTATGGGCTGTAACAGCTGGGAGCCTATGACAGGACAGGGTTTGTGATTAACTCCAGAGGCATCCCACAGCACAAAAAGCTTTCGTTGCTTAAGGTTGCTCACTGACTCATATTCAGGTCAAGCTTAAATCAGTCACCGAGAGATGAATGCAGCTTTAAAATTCAGGAAGCCTCGAAGTGAAACCTAGGTCTTCCCAGAGTGCCTTTTCATTTCTCCAAAGTATGCATTTTTCTGAATGAAGAGTACAGGTTAGTATCTAAGGATTTCAACAGCTATAAAATGTAATGCTAAATTCAAAATATTTTAACATCTTTTGGAATACAGACTGTGTTTTGTCCAGCAGAGGGAGATCAGAGTTTCAGAGAAATGTAATACAAACATTAGGCATAAGAAGGAAAAAAAATTCACTCAAATGTATCAGATATAGATTTTAATATAGAGTTTAATTCATAAGACATAGTATCCTATATTATCTAGACAGGTAAATATAGGTAAATATCTAATGAAAATCAGACTTAAAATCATATCATAGGGCTTGATACTGATTTGTAACCTTCATCCCATTTCAAGCCTGATCCTGTGCAAATAACAAAACACAGCCAAGCTAAAATCAAATCAAATAATAAAATAAAATTAAATAAACACAGTGTTTTTTACATGAGGAAATACCTGCCAGCACTTTGCACTCAGGAAAAGGTCAATGGAAACCTGGAGGAAGCTCTCTGCAGAGACTACCTTGTCTTTTTGTAAATCATAATCCCAGACCAGAAATTCAGTCCCTGGGCCAGTGAGTTTAATTCTTGTCTCCCTGTGGGTTTTGACCTCACTGTAGCTTATCTGGCTGAGTTCACTGTTCAAAGGCTACTGAGATTCACAGCTGCAATAAAAGAGTCACTCAATAAGCAGTTCTTGGGTTTTCTTTGTTTATACTCACCAGCTGATATGCTTTGGGGATTACTGCATTGCCAGCATGGCTGCGTAACTGAAAGGGTGTGAATAACATTACAAACCAGCAAATGAACTGCCAGATGTAGGTGTGAGAAGAACAAACAGAACCAGCTCAGGTTTAACAGAGAGAGGAAAATGGCCAATATTCCCATGACAGAACTTGAAAGAAGAAATATTAAACTTTAACCTTGTGTTGTCATCCTTCAGAAGAAAAACCTGGTGTCAGAGCCAGAAGAAGATCAAGTGGTTGACCAAAGACCAAATGCATATTTCATACCAAAGGACACCTTCTTAGCAGGAGGAAGAGGAAGAAGGAAGAGGAGGAATCATAATATACAACATTTACCTTTTGGAACAACCACCTGCTTCCCGGGAAGCGGCCAGACATCACCTGCTGATGGGAAATAGAGAGTAAAATCTCCTTAGCTGATGTAGTTGCCAAGGCACTTTCCACAATATTTGAAAAGTCATGGCAGTCAGGTGAGGTCCCAGATGATTGGAAAAAAAGGGAAAATTGCATCGGTCTTTTAAAAAGCATAGAAAGGAGGACCCTGGGAACTACTGACCTGTCAGCCTCTCCTCTGTGCCTGGAAAGACCATGCAACAGATCCTACCAGAAGCAAAGCTAAGGCACATGGAAGACAGAGAGGTGATTCAGGACAGCCAGCATAACTTCACACAGAGCAAGTCCTGCCTGACCAAACCTAGTAGCCTTCTATGATGGAGTGAATATGTTAGGGGACAAGGGAAGGGTTAGAGACATTATTCATCTGGACTTCTGTAAAGCCTTTACAGTCCCCCACAACATCCTTCTCTCTAAATTGGAGAGAGATGGATTTGGTGGGACCTGGACAGCCTCAAGAAGTGGGTCCATAGGAATCTCATGAGGTTTAACAAGACCAAGTGCAAGGTGCTGCACCTGGGCCAGGGAAACTCCCAGTATCAATACAGGTTGGCGGATGAACAGATCAAGACCAGCCCTGCCAAGAAGGATTTGGGGGTGCTGGTGGATGAGAGGCAAGAGATGAGCTGGCAACGTGCACCTGCAGCCCACAAAACCAACTGTATTCTGGGCTGCATCAAAAGCAATGTGGCCAGCAGATCGAGTGAGGTGAATCTGCCCCTCTGCTCTGGTGAGATCTCACCTGAAGTACTGTTTCCAGCTCTGGGGGCTCCAGCACAGGACAGACATCAGCCTGTTGGAGCAAGTCCAGAGGAGGGTCACAAAGATGGCGGGATGGAGCATTTTTCCTGTAAGGAAAGACTGAGAGAATTGGGATTGTTCAGCCTGGAGAAGAGAAGGCTTTGAGGTGACCTAATTGTTGCCTTCCAGTACCTGAAGGGAGCCCACAAGAAACATAGGAAGGGACTTCTTACAAGGGCATGTAGTGACAGGACAAGGGGGAATGCTTTCCAACTGAAAGAGGATAGGTTTACATTAGTTGTTAGGAAGAAATCCTTTACTGTGAGGGTGGTTGACACACTAGGTAGAACAGGTTGTCCAGAAAAGTTGTGAATGCCACATACACAAGATGGAGAAAATTTTCCCCTCAAAAACCCTCACAGTGCTAGTAAGTATGAGTGCAGTAGGCTTACACAGAGCAACTACCATGTGGGCTGAAACCCTGCTTTCCAGACAGTGGCTGGACATCACCTGCTCTTGGGAAGTAGAGAATAAAATCTTCTGGGAATTTTTTCCCTCTGCTTGTGCACATGTAACCTTTGCAAAATTAATTATTCCAAGACTGTTCACAATTACAGAGGTAAATTAAAATAATCTTGCTGAAGCTATTGACCAACATTTAATGTTGTTGCCAGTAAAGAATCATACTTTAGATGAGAACTCAAAGTATTTTTCTTTCACAGGATTAGAAAGGATTTCACAAAAAAAGGATTTCACTCCATAAAAACTGTTCAGCTGTTGGCTGCTGCTGCACTTCCTCCTCCACTCTCCTCACACTGATAGGAAGAATGGAATCTCCACCCACCCAAGCTTTCATCCTACTTGTGCCTGAAGATCTAAGTTGCTGCACAGTTGCCAATACAGCCAAGGACTGAAGACGTTGAAGCAGAAAAAACTCTGTGGCAAGTTTCATTTTTTATTTTTTTTAATTTCTTGAGTCATTGCCCAATGAAACATCTTGCTCTGCTCAACTGAATCTGTGTGAAATTGCTGTGAGTAAACACGAAAACGAAAGGAAATAGTCTAGCAATGTTTGTGGTTGGGATTGAAATGTCTTTTCTCTTTTCTGACTGATATTTTTAATTGAGATTAGTTCTATATCTTCCCCTAAAGCAGAGCTTTCCTCTGACCAGATTCGAAGCTCTGAAAGTTACAGCTAAGAAGGGGCCTCCTTGAAAGAAATCCAGAAATCAATACTAGTTACTGTAAAACAGATTGATTTAAGTAATTAAAGCCTAACAACCTCTAGTTAATGATCTATCTAGTTCAGGTTATTTATATGTAACAAACTTCAAAATACGGCAGAGAACTCCGGGAGTGAAAAGATCCAGGAACAAAAGACACAAAAGGTCTGCAAATATTTTCGTGAGTATGAAGCACAAAGGGCGTTAGCATGAATTTCTGATTATTTTCTCTACGGAGGAAGGGTTGGGTCCTGAATGCTGATTTCATTGCCAAATGTTATGCTCTGCTTTCTTTTGAATCACACCTCTTTTTCTTGCCTTTCAAAGGCATCATATCTACAGTCAGAATTTTACATAAATATATTTGGTATGGGAATAATGGCTTTTTTATCTTTTTGTATCTGAGTAAAAAGAGTGATTTTTAGGGACACTGAGAACTATGAGTAATATATCAAGCATTTCTGAAAATGAGATCCAGCTTTAAAGAGTCTATATATGAATCCAGATGGGCCAAATCATGGCCAAAGAAACCAGAGGACATAGAATTTAGTCAATAAGAGAGACCTCAAGAATGGATGAGTAAATTTAGGGTTTTTTTCAGAGCAACCAAGTTAATTCCAAGCCTTTCTTTCTTCATGCAGTGCTCAGCAGCCATGGATAAAATGAAAGATTTGAGTCTGAAAGACACAATTACCCGAAGTGAGTTAACTGAGTTGGAAGGTGTTCTCATCACAAAACCAATGGTCACCACGTGGGATCAAGTATACAAGTTCAAAGCCAGACCTGATGATGTGCTTATTTCAACCTATGCAAAAGCAGGTTGGTATGTGTAGGAAAGAGAACAGAAATGTTTGAGATAGTGCTTATTGTTGAAATTGAAAACTATGTTTTTCTATTTTGACTGATATTTGTATAATTCCAAACCAGATACATTTTAAAGACATGAAGCTGTGTCAGCTGTGACTAGTAACTTCTGACTTCTCTGGCAGAAATAACAACAATCTGTTACTACTGAAGTACAGATGGCCAAAGTCCAATGATCTATACTCAAATGTTTCCCTTAATTGAGGTTACATACATTTATATTAATGACAACAATGGAAGTTTTCCACCAGTATGTAATGATTTAACAATGCCTAGAAAAAAGTCATCATTACTGAGAAATAATAGAAACTTACTGAAATGACTATGGAATGTATTATATATTCGGGGTGTGTAAACCAATAGTGGTTTCTGAAAATTGATTAATTATTTTAAGGAAATAACCAAATTCACTTAATCATTTCAGCCAATAAAATAAATACCCACCATTAATATTAGTTATCTGGCATTTTATTCAGTGGCTGGCCACTATTTCTCTTCTTCATCAGACCCTTTATACTTACTACACAGGAAAAAAATGAACAACAAGCATCAATATTAATCCTGCATGAATAAAAACATGTACAGTGTAGGAGATTCAGGAACAGATATGGGAACATTTGATGATCATAAAAAAATAATTACTTGAATTAACAAGATTTAAGGGCAGGTTTGTTGGTTTTTTTCAGTAGGGGAAAAAACCACCAAAAAATACACCACCATTAGTTTTGTAGAACCTGAAAGCAAAACCATGTTTTTTTATCCAGTCTGGACTAAAACCTCCCAGTCACTGAATTGAAAAAAAGTTGGGAGTCCATTTGACATTATGTCATATCTGCCTGAGACGCACAATTCAAGCATCTTAACAGTTGAATTTCCTTCCCACATTGCTTTCCAAGTTATCCCTTAGCCTGTTCTCTAGCTGACCTGCCACAGTATCTTAGAGGAGATGTGGTTAACACAGTGATCAAAGCTATAAAAGAAAAGAGGCATGAGATACACAATACTGTAACACAAGATTTTGCAGTTGCTCGGGCAGATGAAGTGTTATGTACTGATCTTCATTAAAGGGGTTCAAATGGAAACTTTGCAAATACTGCCACTGTTTTATATTTTCAAACTGTATGAAATTTTTACTCATTTGAAGTTCAGGTATTGCATTTTTTCACTGAAATTCAGCATGAAAACAAAAGTTGAAATACCTGAATTTTTGTGAGGTATGAAAATTGGAATGAGGGAGTTTCATTCCTCTCTGCAAATAATACAACCTCCAAAAAATAGTGAGTTTATCCCAGAGCTTTTTTCAGTACCGGTGTGGGGTTGGGGGCTATTTCTTTTGGCATGAAGCAGCCTGTTGTAAAATGGAATCCCTGAAACTCTGCTTTGAGAATTACCTTTGTATTCCTAATTAAGCATTTTCCCCCCATTATCCTCTCTTTCCACTTTGTCCATTATCTTTTGTGCTATTCCTTCCTCCTTTAATGCAGAGTCCATCCTTCTGGCTTTCAGTTCCCTAGAAGAGACTCCTGGCTATCCTGGAGGGAAACATCTAAACACTTGACATTTTCAGGTACCACATGGACGCAGGAGATAGTGGATATGATTCAACAAAATGGAGATATTGAGAAGTGTAGACGTGAAACAACTTACAAACGCCATCCTTTCCTTGAGTGGTTTATTGCTGAGCCTCCATCTGAACGTTACTCAGGTGAGTGTTATACAAGTAGGTTTGTATTTTAGACAAAATGAAACAAAACGAGCACTTGGTGCTGATGCCGTAAGTTTCCTGAGAAAGGTCCCACTTGCTTTGTTACAGAACTATGCACCATTAAGGACTAGTTCAGTTGCTTTAACATAAACATCTAGTACTACTCAAGGTGATGCAAGGCTGGCAGATTTAACTCAGGTGCTACTGAAGACCATGCTGTTTTAGAGTGGTATCCAAATGCTGTGAATGATACTCCACAGCACCTAAACCGGATGGCAACTTGTGGACAATTGAATCCCATTCTCTGATTACAGGCTGTATGGAAGAGAAACCCGTCACCGATGTATTTACAAAAGGTGGATAATGTTTTCAGTGGTTTGCCACTGTTTCAAGTAACTGCTGTTCAGTTCTAGGGTCTAGTCATCTAAATAAGCTATGGGACCTTCAGGCAACCAACAGGCATTACTGGTTTGCAAAGACAGTCTCCTACAAGAGAGCCCTTCCCCCAACAAGGCCTCCACTTGCACACAAATCTTTGTCACAATCCCTTCACATTTAAAGCTAAAAGGCTTGACTAACTCTGCAGAAGTGCTTTTTCTCTTCTAAGTTAGACTGTGTTGACACTGAGAGAGACAAAAAAATTATGATGACAGAGGATGATAGAAGATGACAGGGGAAAAAAAATTATGAAGGTCATGACAGATGTTTAAAAAGGAGAGGAGAGGAAATAACACATCTCCAAATATCACCAGATATTCCCAAGTACTCACATATATTCATAGGTACTGAAAATCCACTGTTGTTCCCCTAGTTTCTCCTTATGTGCTATCCAGAAAGTCTAGTCAGCCAGTCATATTCTTGTATTCTAGAAAGGAGCAAAAATTTCTTACCTGTGCAAGTGGGAGGAGGTCATTAAATATTGCAAAGGAAAAACTGTGGTTCGGTAATTATAAATCAGTATTCATCATTATCAGTATTCATCAGAATGCAGGAGTTAGATGTGGACCCAAGAAAGCAAGAAGATATGAACCAGTATTTCCCCTTTAACTTGAGTATATAGGTAAAAACTTCCCTAGAAACACTGAGGATGCTTATGTAATGTTGCTTATGTTACACTGTTATGGAATTGCTTTGGAGATGAATGATTGGTGCAAGGTGTACTGCTGAAAAGTCATGGTTGAAATCACATGTATGAGAATAGCAAAGAAGTGCTAGTGCAATTTAGAGAACAACTCACATCTCATAATTAAATATCCCACAGGTATAGAGTTAGCTAATGCCATGCCATCTCCAAGAACAATAAAAACTCATCTGCCTGTGCACATGATACCTCCCTCCTTCTGGGAACAAAATTGTAAGGTAAGGCTGAGGAAGATGGACCAACTCTACTTCATGGGCAAACAAAATGACATAAACCAGGACAGAATATGTTTTCCAGAATGTCTGTGAAACCTAAAGGTCCCCACAGATATTTTCCCTTTAATGTGCAAAATCTGTGAAAATGTAAAGAAGTCATGACTAAGCTACCTGAGCTGGATTTTAGAAAATGGAAGCTTCAAAGCAATATCTCCTAAAATGCCCTAATCAAGGTCCAAGACAAAACTTTAGGATATGCTCAATATTTACATAATCATGTGGAAGTTAATTTTTTCTTCTCTCTCTCTCTTTTCATGTCAATAAAGATAATCTATGTGGCAAGAAATGCAAAAGACAACCTGGTGTCATATTACCATTTCCACAGAATGAACAAGGGATTGCCTGAGCCAGGAACCTGGGAGGAGTTCGTGGAGAAATTCATGAATGGACAAGGTGATGAACTGCAATCAGTTGTATAAGAGATTTTGTTAATTTTAAAAATGCATTGCAATGATTTATTTATTTTAGCTATGGCTTGATATCTAGTGATGATTTTACTCTGTGGAATGATAACTACTGAAGATGTTTCAGTCATAATTTATCTTCATTCACGGGATTTTATTAGTACCTAAAGGATTATTAAGCCTATCTTTACACTCCCATTTGGAGAAAAAACCCACTCAACCACTACTCTTTATTCTGTGATCTTTCAGAAACCTATATGATGATTTTCAGGCTTAATCTCCTATTTCTGACTTTAAAAGAAGCCAGCTGAAAAGGAATAGAGGTTTAATTTTGTTTATTCTAACATGATATACAGGAAACTATGGATTAATTTTGTCAGAAATGTGCAGTGGCAATTTTAGATTCAGAAGTATTTTTACATAAATTAATCTACCTAAAAATAGGGCATATGAAAAAAAGACAGTTATCTTACTAAGGGCAAGCAACCCCAGAAGCTGATTCTTCCTTTTCTAAAAGAGATGCCCATATCACAGAATATCCAAGAAAGAAAACCAAGTCAGGTGGGTGGCAGTTTACAGTTCAGGTCATGAAAGCTTCCTTAGACCCTTAATATTTTTGCCGCCATGTAGGCCTAAAAATATCACTGTCTGGACCAGCATGAGAGTTTCATACCTAAAGGAGACCTTGTGTCTTGTGTTTGACCAGCTCAGCTTGGGAGCCATCTGTCCCAGTGCAGACACATAGAAGACTGATTAGCTACCTCTGTCCTAGATGATCATCTTGATGGAGAGAAACAGGCACTTCTGATAGAATACCAAATATTTAAATCAGTTAGAATCACAGAATAACACAAGCTGGAAGGCACTTTCAGTGTCCATCTGGTCCAAATCCCTGCTAAAAGCAGAGCCAGTCAAGACCAGCCTTGTCCAGCTGATGAGATGAATCACTGGAAATGTCTGTTTCTTTCCACTGGCTGCAAAGACAGCCTGGATTTTTCATTCAGGAGTAATAACCTGCATTTGTTGCCCTCTAAAGTTATGAGTGGATCCTGCTCTGAGCATCCATACACCAGAGGGATTAATAGCACAAATGCTGTGATAAGCACAGAGCAAAGCAGTCATGGCCACAGTGATTTAAAACCAGATGGTAAATTCCCAGGCATTGGTCATAAGGGAACCATGAATGCCACATGTGTTAAAGACAATTAGGGCATTTATAGCTGCTGTTGATGTTCCTTCTTTTTCAGTGCTCTGGGGTTCCTGGTATGACCATGTAAAAGGATGGTGGAAGGCAAAAGATAAGCACCGTATTCTCTATCTCTTCTACGAAGACATGAAGGAGGTAAAAGGCTGAATGTATGTTTATAGAGCTTTGAAATCCAGAAGTCTACTAGATACTGCCTACAAGCTACTTTTGTATTATAATGCCAGCTGTATCAGTAAATCTTATGACAATCTGATCTTCTCAGTCTGAGAACTGCAGCTTTAACACTATGTTTGATTTCTTTTCTTTTCCTGCCTCTTTTTTTTATCCCATGTCATTGTCTCTGCAGAATCCAAAGCAAGAAATTCAGAAGATTGCAAAGTTCCTGGAGAAGGACTTGAGCGAGGAGGTTCTAAACAAGATAGTCCACCACACCTCATTTGAGGTAATGAAGGAAAATCCCATGGCAAACTACACTAAAGACTTTCATGGAATAATGGATCACTCCATTTCCCCATTCATGAGAAAAGGTACTGAGATTTGTTACTTAAATCAGCTCTTTTTGGTTGTCATTCTGCTTTGAAATAAACCTTGAAGTACAAGTATCTAGTGAGTTCTGGATAATTGGCTTCAGGAAATACTGATAAATTTATCTTTTTTCTTTGTTTGCTTTGCTGTTTCTTAGGGACTGTTGCAGACTGGAAAAATCATTTCACTGTGGCACAGAATGAGAAATTTGATGAAGATTATAAGAAGAAAATGTCTGATACCCCTCTTGTTTTTCGCACGGAATTGTGATTATTTGCAATGGGAATTAATGATCTTCAGTCTTTTCCATGTCATATATTTTGCCTTCACAAAATGCCAATGATCCTAGGATTTCCATTTCTCTTCACACCCCATTGATTTTTCATTATTGTCAGAGTGCCCAAATTATGCAAAAATTTAAGTCTTGCTGAAGAAAATAATTCCACTGGATACTTCTCATTCATCCCTCCCGCAATAACTTTCAGCATTAATAAAAATATTTCAGACATGCTTTGAGCTTTTGTCTTTGTGAAACTGTAGTTGATATTGCTGGCATTTTCAAATCAAACTCTAACAGAAACTAGGAACCAATAGGAAAAAATGGTGTTAAAAACACAACAGATTGTATGAACGTTAATCAAGAAATAACAACAAACAAATTCAAAGGTGGTCAAGTATAAAGAGAGCAACAGAACAGCACAAAGTAGAATAAATTTCCTTTTCTCTCATTTTAAGCTGGACATCATAAATGCTGTTGAGATGAAAGCAATGTTTCCAAAACCACCAAACTTCCTTTGATCGAATTTGCTAAAGGGCTACACAGAGGCATTTATTTACAATCCAGCTGTAGAGGCAGCAGTCCTTCCTGCATTAAGAGAAGAAGCTTTTCTCACATTTGCTTTCTCAACTGGATATCATATGCTTCTGCTAACATTTGGAGAATTCTGAAAGTTGATACAAACCAGGTCAAGAGTCAGTGCTGCACATACCATCTCCATCTTCACTGCTGTAAGTGTTCATCAGATGTCTCACGTTATTGCCTCCTCCTTTACTCCACTCTTAATCAAATACATAAACGTCCCATTGAGGGCTCTTAGTTGCAATAGGGCCTGGTTGATATTAGGAAATAAAAACCAGTTCTGCTTTAGCATTAGTACCACCACTATAACCATGCTTTGAGCTTGTGCAAAATTACCTACAACAATTCATAACCCAGTTAATTATAGGCAACTGTTACCAATCCACTTTTGGTTTTGAAGTGCCACCATTGAGCTTGGCACAAAAAAAAAGCCCCAAAGAGTTCCTGCTTAACTGGGTTTGCGCTCTGAATGTTAGAAGGAACGCAGTGTAGACTACAGAAGCTGAAGGAAAATATTCTCTTAGTCTCATTTAGTCTAGTTTAACACAAGAAATGCTTGCTGGGGATATTTTCTCTTTGGCCCATGTCAACATGCACAGTCCATTTCAGGCAACTTACTTAATCCAAATATCTAAAATGAATGCAGTCCTCTAAAGGGCGGCAATAATCTTTCAACAAGTTTGAAAACAAACAAAAGGCTTCATGTTAAATGTGGAAGTTACATTGGCAGTTCCCTGCTAAATGAGTTTCCCCCAAAAATGAAGGAATCACTGAAACCAGAAATACATATTTAATATATTAGCACATTGTATTTTTTTTTTAAGGCTTAGATCAACAGATTCCTGCCCACAAACAAAGGTTTTCTCAGTAAAATGACTACCTGAGAAAAAAAATTACCTGTCAGAGGCACTGCTATTCATCACAGCAAGGCTAAATACCAGCCTGAGGAGCTTTCTTCTACTTGTTTGGTTTTTGTTTATGATTAACTTGATTTACTATCTCACTATTGCCAGTATGAGGAAAAGGCGTTGGTTGCCTGCTCTCTCAGATATTTCCATTCTCCTGAATTGCTCTATGAAACCACATGAGTCAGCACACTTTGTCAATCTAATCCTCATTCAGTGCCACAAGAGATATCAGTAAATGGAAAACATGCTTAATTCAGTATCTTGGTGACATTTTCTGAGCAGCTCTGTACAAAAGGTCACACAGAAGGCATATTTGCTCCTCCTTTGAAATCTCTGAATCTATCAGAAGTGCAAAATGCTGACAGTGGTTGAAAGGGAGCTGCGCAGCCACCACAAGGATAGAGGCACCATGTAATAAGGGGCTTGTATCACACTGGGAAAGTCACCTTTGCTCCCTCACTTGCTTAGGTAACTCTTCACCCAGCTGCAATTCAGCTGCTATGAACAACAGACAAAAACTAACACAGGTCAGAGCGTAGTCCCAGAATAAAAAAGGGGGGAAACAAACACAAGCTGCTGGTGCAAACAAAGGACTGTTTACTGTGGAGGTAGAACTCTGTACAGAACTTTATTAGACATATGTCCTGAATATACATCTATGCTTTATATTCATCCACTTGCCTAGATGCACAGTTTTACTAACCTTCTCAGGTGCAACATCTGTGTTAGTTTAGCTAATGCAATCCCTCAGCAACTTCTTTAATGCTGCCTGTGTCTTCTTTTAGAAGAGAGTGTACGTGCAGAGTTTTGATAGTGGAGAAACTCTGTTATTCATCTCTAAAAAAAAGTTTCAAAATCAGTGCTGATTAATACATGGTAACTGTTCACATGGTTCTGCTTCTTAGCTCCGTGTGAACAACTACCAAAACAAATCCTCCTGCAGAAATGACTGAAGATTCCTGCTTTGATACAGACTGTTTAACATGTACTGCTGTATTATTCTTAGAGTAGTCGTGACCAGCCTTTAGCTTGGCTGTCAACAGCAACTAAGGGAGCTGTTTTACTTTCACATGGAATGCAACCATTTGCGAAACAGAATGGAAGAAGCACCAAGATTCAAAAAATTAAAGAAAGAAACACAGAAGAGAGCTGTTTTATCTTCCCAGCTAGCATTCAAAGACAGATGGACACTGCTTTCCTTTTCACTAATTTAACTGTAGATAATCTGCTTCATGCTTGGATTCAAAGTCGCTGTTTGTCCAGTTAGGAACACAGACTATGTACAGGAAGAAGTTTCTATTTAATTTGTCCTATCTATATCAGATATGGACATCCAATCCTATAATGTATACTTTGTAAGTTTTTTATAATGATTTGTGACAATATGTTCACAAAAAGCATTATCTTTACAACAAGGTTAATTATTAATGCTGCCACTTTTTCGAGGTACATTAACATATTTTAAGCCTGGACTGAATCTTCCATATTCCCTCACATCTTCCATGTATGTTGCAAGGTCTGTCTCGCTGTAGGTGAGCCTGGAGGCACACTGAAAATGAAAGTTAAGGCCTTCATACTCATAGGTTGCAATCAAACTGTGCTGCCAGACTGAAAGTCACAGGCTTAGGCTGGATAAAAGGCTCTGTCTGCCCTCCAAACCAAGAACAGACTGAGGCACTGTGTAGGTAGATCAGGAATGCTGTCATGCAGCAGTGTCCCACGGTTAATGTTGAAGAGGCAAATTACTCGTGGACTATTTTGCAGAAGGGCTTTGGCATAGCCTGCTGCAAGGGCAGCTGGTATTTATCCATTGTGTGAGCTCACATTGCCTTTAGGACTGTGTGACGGCTCACAGTTGACGCCATCTACCATGACATGGAGACAAGAGGGATTATGTCAAAAGTAAGCTACATTGGGTCCTGCTGTGGTACAGTCCATATAGGTATAGATAGAGTCTTAGGTTAGGCACCTAAAAATGAAGGTAACTAATTTTTTTTTTTTTAATTATTAAAATTGGGCCTCTTGATTCACAGTAATTTTTGTACTAATAACCCTCGCTCATTGTCTAATTGCTACTACCTCTGTGTGCAGTCAAAAGGACTTTCGTATTCTGTTAACAACTGAGCAGGCTTTCATAGTCAGACCCAACCCCAAGAGCAGGAAAGAAATGGTTCCTTTTTTTCAATTTCACTCTAATTATTCAGCAGGCTTGGTGGGTTTTGCTGATAAGAACACCAAACTAATCACCTCTGTTTCCTACTGCAGTTTGAGACCAGAACTAAGGACTATGTATACAATTTTGGTTTTTTAACACCTAATCAAATCCTTCACACACAAATTAGTACTAAAATTAATAACTCTTAACTTTTTTCATTCCACTCCTGTAAGAAGTTCTCAAACCTCAACCCAACCCAATGAAATGGCCATAGTCAGCCAAATAATCTACAGTTCATTTGCACAGAACAAGGGGAATACTTTAGGTTTCCAAACAGAGAAGAATAGTTAACATACTGTAAATTCATACGTTGCTTTCCTTTATACTAACGTGGCATGTGGAAAAGACATAGAGGTAGCTCAAAGCAAGAACTCTGACCCAGCTTGGTTCACAAGCAGGCGTTTGTGATCTTCAGAATCTGTTGCAAAGGCAATTCTACAGTGGAAAGTATTCAAAGCATCAGCTCTTATATGCTGAAAACACATTCCTCAGCTGCAAAAATAGAGTAATTTTCTCATTCTGTGCTCTTCAGAAAAATTCTTGCAGGTCTAATAATTCCAATGATGGTGAACAAGCATTTGCACCCTGCCTTGAAGTAAGGGCTAATCACAGCCCCGTGGGACTTGGCTTCCCAACGAAAGCAGGATTGAAAGTTTTTATGCTCTGCCCCAACACATCTCATAAATGTCCTGACAATCTTGTTTTACATAAACAATGCTATTTAAAAATATTAATTAATTCTCCTTTACAAAGATAATAATATCACAGGATATAGGAAGCACGTAAATTACTCAAGTTTTTCTCACTTAACTTGTTTCAAATTAGATGCATGAATTATTATGTATCAACTTACTGGCTCCTTCTAGATATGTAAGACATGCAATTCATAAACTGTTTAAGAAAACTATGTAAGACTACTGGAGGTACAAATTGACACTTTTTTCCCCACAAAATATGGAACAATGTACAGTGTATTGTAACAAACCAAAACAATCAAAGCCAAAATCCTCAATCTTTTTTCTTCTAGTTATTCTAGAAACTTTTTAAAATTTTTGTACCATTCCCTAATCAGGATGCTTTGCACTTGCTTTTGCAATTCAGGACCAGAACAAAAGACTGTCAAAGACAATCTCAAATGTAAAAATATACCTAAATTCTGTTCCACAAAATGGAGGGGGGTGGGAGGGGAGAATTAGCCTGTCTCTGTGAAGTACTTGTCTCACAGGAACAGGGAGCAGGGGGAGGGTGAGTAGTTCCCAGCCAGAATCCCCAGAAAGCCTGGGATAAGTAAACCAGTCTTCAGTATAAACACATCTGAAAACTCTTCTGTGTCTGTCTGCCTTGGATTGTCTCCAAAATCAATTTCTTTATAGGCTAAGACATGAGATGACCCAAGAGCTGGATCATATTTTCTGAGGACAGATGGAAGGAGCAAATTTGCATGAAACATTGTTTTCTATGCGGTTTTCCAAAAGAGAAGGTAAACTTTCCTGAAGTGTTCTCCCAAATGTCTAAATTCAATTGGAGGTTGACCTTGAAGCACAAGAGCTGTGCAGTATGGCATTGTCTGGTATGCGAAGCTTTAGCTAAGAATAGTTTTGGAAGGACTGTATCTAGAAATGGTCTTGAAATTGTGTCAAACATCCATGTTAGATCATGGCAGCACAGGTGTAGCTGCTCAGCTCAGAGTATCCCAAAGGGGAAAGGGAAAGGAAGAATTAACCTGTTCAATGCCCTACGAGGCTTCTAAAAAGTATAATAGAAGTAATGAAAAAACAGCTTCTTGATGTTTCATTAGGGACATTTATTCCTTGCCAGCAACCTGTGTGACCGTGGAACCATATGTTCCTGCCACAGTTGTGTACCTGCACAGATTAGAATACACAATAAATATACATAATGTACAGTGAATGTATTGGAGGGGAAAAAGAAAAAAGGAAACAATTTCTGAGGTATATGTGAAGAACCTTTCTGTCTTTTGTCACTAGTTGCCATTTGAAATTTAAAAGAAGAATGACTGTAAGCAGACTTGGAAAAATGCAAATTATTCTTCTGAGAGTAGCGTTTTGACTAACATGACTCTCATTCTTTAAATAAAATAGTATTCTCTCATGACATTATAATTAACTTGGCAATATTCAGTATTTATCCAGTGAACCATAAATATGCCTAAATTGTTTCTCTCAGGCAACTTCTCATTAAAAATCAATTACTTATCATGAAATGTGAAAAATAATTCAGGCACTACGAAAGTGCATGCATGATTACAATGAAAAACGTGTACCCTTTAAAGTAGGTATTGGTCCCCTCAAACACCTACCCAAACTGGCATAGAAAACGTCTCTTAAAAAACACATAACTACAAGCCGTAATATCCGGCTTCTGGTAATTTTCCTGTAAGTCCTTCACCTTCATTTTTAAATTTACAGAATGACAGAATACCTAAGTGTTGGAAGGGACCTCTGGGGATCATCTAGTCTAATCTTCCTGCAAGGCAGGGTCACCTAGAGCAGGTAACACAGGATGACATCCAAGTGGGTTTGGAATGCCTTCAGAGGAGGAGACTTCACAACCTCCCTGGGCAGCCTGTTCCAGTGCTCTGCCACTATCAGTGTAAAATTCTTCCTCATGTTGAAATGGAACTTCTTGTGTTTTAGTTTCTGGCCATTGCTCCTCGTCCCGTCGCTGGTCACCTCCGAAAAGAGTGTGGCACCATCCTCTTGTCACCCGTCGCACTTACTCGATAAATAACTTAATCACTCTGTGCTTCCATCAAGATATTAAAAACAGGGTCTTGAATTGTTAAGTTTCTGCCTAAGCACTTTGTCATGTTCTCCCGACGGTGACAGCGAGAGACACTCGTGCCTGCAGCAGCGGGTTCCCCTCAGGAGCCCCTTCAGGAAGAGGGAAGGGGCAGGTTACAGCGGTGGTGTAGCCGTACCCCTGTGCCGCTCTTATGAAGCGGAGACCATGATCTCGGCACTGTCACCTGTTCTTCCCAGCTCATGCCCGCCTCAGGCCGACTCCCAGGCCCCCGCCCGCCCCGGGGCGGTGCTCGGTGACGGGCAGGCGGAGCGCGGCGGGCCGGCAGCCGTGTTCCCGGCGTGCCGGGATGACGGAGGCGGAAGCGGGCTGGGGAGGATGTAGCGGCGCTGACAGCGGCTGTGGCGCCGCGACCTGCCCGCCCCTGCCGCCGGCCGGCCCCGCCATGGAGGTAATGCGGCTGGGGGAGAGGGGGCGCGGGGCCCTCGGGGGGGAACCGGAGCTGGAGCGGGTGGGCAGGGAGGCGGTGCGTGACCTTGGGTGCAGCGTGGAGGGGCCGGGGAGGGTGAGGACCAACCCCTTCTCCGCCTCCCCCTCCCGGGGTCACTGCCCGCGGTGACGGGCTGGGGAAGCCCGCGGGCCCCTGCGCCGCCTCCTCGGCGCCCCCGGTGGGCGGCAGCTGCGCGGGGCCCGCCCGGGCCGGGTGGGAAGGGGCGCTCCGGCCCTGCCCTGCGGAAATGCGAGCGCTGGGCCGGGCTCCAGGGGATTGCTCAGTGCCCCCCTGCTTACAGGGTGGGGGCGTGGCGCTGTTGTCAGGGCCGGGGGGGAGCAGGCGGTGCTCGAAGGGACTCGAGGGGAGCGAGGCGCGGGTGACACGGCGGGTGCGCGGAGTGGTGACTCTGTGAGAGCACCCACGGGCCAACAAGGGCTCCTGTTCCGCTGCGGTGACCCGCTGTGTTAACACCACGTCAGCTGTGAAACACCTACCAGCACAAGCAAATAAATCACTGAAGCGTCTGTATCTACATAAAACACCAAGGCAAATCCAAATACAGCGTTGAAGAGTACCTACAATAAATTGACTCTCCTGTTAATGTCTGAGCTGCTCACGTTCTAATGGAGTTTCAGTGCTGCTGTTGAAGCGATCTCAATTCAAGAAGTGTTTTGATGTGACTTGGTACACTTAGAGTTGGTGATGCCTCATAGTTGCACGCTGCTCAGAAAATTGCTATTCGTGGTGGTCATTACTGCCACAGTTCACAACAAAAACTAATATGTTGCATTTGTGCATTGGTTAGGCTTCTAAGGCTTTATTTCTGTGTTAAGCTATTGCAAAAGTGAGGGACAGATAGCAGTTAATATATATAGAACATGCTGAAATGTGGCATGGAAACACCTTAGAGTAGATAAAGTAGGCTTGAAATAAAAAAAAAAAAAAGAGTGTGTATATGTATACATGTGTGTATATATATATATATATATATCAGTAAAGTATGGAAGCATACCCTGGTTTCAGAATGATGGACTAGAAACTTAAAAATCCTTGCAGTATTCGGTGTTGGGCTTAAAAGCATACTTACTGTCTGCTGGCTTGCAGCTTGGATGCACCTAATCATTGAGAAGTTTAGGGTCTTTTAGTAGCTCATCTTCCTTCTTGTTCTTTAATTTCAAATGGGTGAAGTGCTTTACATGAACTGCCTCTGGGTTCTGTTACCAGAACAGCGAAACTGGATGTGTTGTTTTATATGATATGTGGTTCTGCCTCTGTATGTATTAGCTTAAAAGAGACTAAAAATATTGTGAGAAAAAGATTCATCTGACCTTGCTGTAGTATGGAGAGACGTGAGCTGTTATTTTCTAAACAGCACATGTGGTTTGCTATACTTAATTATGCTGTCTAAGCATACTGCTTGTAGTGAGAGTATTTTGCTGTCTACTGCTGAAATACTGAGTGTAACTAATAACAAAGTTTTATATAGCAAGAGAATATGAAACTTAAACCTTATAGCTTTTTTGTACTGCTCTATTTATGTTTAATGGGTACGTTATTTTTTAATAAGTTTCCTTTTGCCATCTGAAAAAAAATCACCTTTTTGCCCATGTGATACATACATAAGTATAACTGCCCTTGTCCTTGGCGTGTACTTGAACTTACATTTCTAATAAGGATCCTTTTTGTTATCTGTATCACCTGTTCCCCCTAAATAATTAGTGATTCTTCATTCTTATAGTGTTCCAATTCAGTTTGATTTTTCCTTAGTATCTACTCTAAGGGTTTTGGGTTTTCTGGCAGAATAAAGAAAGTAGCAAAATAAAAGTGAAGGTATGTGTGTACACATCCATACACACACAAACATGTAGATATATAAAAATACAAATATTTATATATATAGATATAGTCATGCACATATGATAGTATGAAGGAAGAAGCAGGGTAAAGATCAAAACTTGGAAATGCTACCCTTAATATATTGGAAGCTTCTGTTCCATTTTCCTTCACACTATCATGGCTACATATGTTTCTTCATGTTCCTGATCATATATAAACATATCTCATATAAATCACAGCAAAGTAACAGAGTCTCCCAGATTAGATCTGTGGAAGTTTACAGAAGGCGGCATTATGCATGTACATTAGGAATAGAGAGCCCAGACTTTGCGAGCTTTTTCAGATACATTTGTCAGGCCAGTAATTATAGCAGTAACTAGTATGTTTAAAAAACAGAAAGGAAAGGGGGAGTTATAATTCAGGGTTTAAAAGAGTCCTGACTTTGCAGAGTCTTTTCAAATATAGTTTGTTAGGCCAACAATTTTAGCAATACTAATGTGTTTAAGAAACAAAAAAAATATTGGGACTTTATGTGGTTCAAAAGGTCCCAAAGTTTGATTTCACTGCAGCCCCTCTACAAGTATTTTTTTGTTCATGCCATTTTTTTAATGTCTCCTTTGAAAATGAGGTTGTGAGTCACACTTTTTAAGCTGCTCATAAATAAAATTATTTTTCAGTGCATCAACTCTAGGTGTCAGTTCAGTAATGGAATCATTAGATCATACTGGTTTGCACATCAAGAGTTTTCTATTCTGCTGTTCTAATAATCATGGTAGCTCTTCTTCCGTTATGCTTCTGACTAGTCCCACAAATACCTTGTTTTTAAATTTTATTTTAGTTTTTTTCAAGTTAGTTACTGCAGATTGTACTTCATTTTGTTATAGGTTCAAGATGCTGGGCAGGATATGGTGGTGTCTTCTGGCACACCAGGATCAGGCAAATCAAAGGTAATCAGTCCTCAAAAAGTTAATTTATTTGGATAGCAGTAGTTGAAAGAGTTAAAGCTTAGCATGCAAGCTGTGACTAATACGAAGACATAAAGGTATTTTTAGCATTTCCCGTCTTCTAGACAGGAAAAACTTATCCTAGTTTATAAACACTAGGATAAGGTGTCTTGGAAAACATGGAAAAAAATCTCTTCTTGATATGTTCCCTTCTGTTATATTTGATAAATTATTAATAGCATCCAGTTTTGGCAGTAGTCTGTTTCATAATGGTCACAGACAACTTTGCATATGTTGGAAGTAAATTTTAAAAATGACAATGTTAGGACAGCATGCTATTTTCAAAACACTGTTCAAATTATATTACTGAATTGTAATCCTTCCCAACTGAGTTTTCCTCTCTAACTGATGCTATCCAATTCTGTGCTCCAATATTATTTCAGAAAAGTACAGAATTAGGAGTAGTTTCTGTTATTGCACTTGGAATAACAGAATTGGATAACAGAATGGCAGTAACTTGGACTGTTATGGTATGCATGGTAAGAGTTTCTTGCCCTAAAATTCAACTTCTCGGAAGTCAGATGCTAAAATGCCCTGTTTCTCTTAATGTCTGAGTTAGAGGAAACTGATTTTTCTAATATCTACTTTTATTACAGCTGGACACATTGCCCAAAGAAGACCTCATTAAGTTTGCAAAAAAGCAAATGATGCTTATACAGAAAGTGAAGTCAAGATGTACAGGTACCTTACTGGAAAGAGAACAATTTCTGCCTTAATGTTTGGTACTATCTTACCTTTTCTAATATCACTACATGTTTTTTATAGGTAGATTTAAATTCTAGGCAAATATCCTAGATGTTTTTTTCTGCAATTTCACTATTTATTTTGGAATGATAGGGTCTGGAGTCCTTAGAGTAAGAATGGGAAGAAAAAAAAGCATTGCTTTTGTCAGGTGTTAAATTAATTTTGATCTGGCAGTATGGGCATGACAGAACAGTGTAGCTTGCGTAAAAGTTGCAGTGGGATGTCATTGTCTGTTCCTCATATTGGCACAGGGATAAATACCTGTTGTTTTTCAGGAAGTAAATGGAAGGGGGAATGTCTGTGATAGTTTTTTCCATAATTAATGCTGTTGCGGAGCACAGTGGCTTCTTTAAGATAGTTAGCTAGTTTATATTTAATCATCTGCTGCTATAACAAGAAATTGTAAACTACCCTAAACAAAATTTTACGTTAACCACCTAAAAGTATTCTGTGTAAATCTGTGCTGTCGTGTGCTGCCCTTCTCTGCTCTGCTGTCCCCTTTCCTCCAGCGGCCCACTACTCAGACTGGTGGTGTCACTTCCCCTTGTTTGGAATTACAATTAATTAATTATGCTGGCTGCTGGTAGCTGCCCAGTGAAACAATAAGGATATAGGGATGAGCTATACCAGGCTTTTCCTCAGAGGGGTTATTCGTGAGATCTTGTTTTTCTGCCTGCTGCCATTTTCAGAGAGCCAGTAGGTACTATCTTTCCTCTGGCTTAAATTGATTATGAAATAGAAGGTAAGATGATCATCAAAAGAATTCCTGTCAGTTGTCCCTCTGTCCAAACAAGGAAGTTTCGATTCCTCAGAAAACCATACTCAGTGGAGATTCTAAATCTAAATCTAAACTTCTCACTGGAGAAGTAGTACTGAATATTTGTCCTCTTTCCATTAGTCCTTTCTATCACTCAGTAACAAACAAAAATTGATGAAGTAAAAGACATCTCTGATTTGAATAGAAGTGTTGTTAGGCGCTGGATTTACTAGAAATCTGCTACTATGATGGAGCATCAATTAATGCTGTGAAATTTCTTTACTTTTTTTCAGAACTGGAGAAAGAGATTGAAGAACTCAGATCTAAAGCAGCTACTGCAGGAGCTGATGATATTATTCAGGTAGGAATACGTAATAAGTTTCTACTGTATTACATAAAGTTAGCTGAAATAAATCCACAGAAATAATTTGGTAAATAGTAAATAGCTTTAAAACTATTATTTAAATTGCATGGAATTAATTTTCAGGAATATAAGGCATTTCCTAAAATCTTTTTTTCCCCCCTCCTCCCCCCAAGTCCTTCCTCCACTTGTCATAAATTCTGTTGGTTCTGTGAGGAATTACACAGAATAGTACAATTTCCAGGGAGAACTTACTTCAGTACTTGAAATGGGCTTATAAGATGGGGACAAAACTTTTCAGCAGGGCCTTTTGTGATAAAACAAGAGGCAATGGTTTTAAACTAAAGGAGGGTCAATTTAGATTAGATATAAGGAAGAAGTTCTTTTACAGGGAGGGTGGTGAAACACTGGAACAGGTTACCCAGAGAGGTGAGAGATGCCCCATCCCTGGAAACGTTCAAAGTCAGGTTGGACAAGGCTCTGAGCAACCTGATAGAGTTGAAGATACTCCCTGCTTATTGGAGCGGGTTTGGACTAGATCACCTTTACAGGTCCCTTCCCACCCAAACAATTCTATAAATGTCCACAGCAAGACTTTTTCCTTGTGTAGCTGGTTAGACAGGCTTTTGTTTAATGTAGAATGACCATTGCAGAAAGACTTCTGCCATTTAGAAGACTTCTGAGACAGCCATGTGATGCAATTAGAAATACATAATTAAAGTTGCGTGTCCCAAGAAGTACTTTTAGGAAAGTAACTCGAATAGTTTTGGTATGGCAAGAACATGTCGTTTTCAACGTAAGGGTCATAGCATATGAAAGTGAAAACTGGTAGTGAGGAGGACTTTATCAATTGGAGAATTATTTTGAATAATTTGGAGGGACAGTTCTACAGAAGGTGGACTTCTCCACCACCACCTGGTGATTAAAAATTAGCTGATCACAAGTAGGATTTTTAACAGAACCAACATCATTGTTTGAGTCTACCTATTTCATATCAGTCTTATTTGGGCTGAAAGTAATTTTTAAAATCAGACTATGTTTAATTGACAAAAAGGGTCATAATCAATATGTGAGTTCCTACATTTTTCAGAAATCGTTGTTTCCATTGTTAACAAACTCCTCTTTCAGTGATCTTTCTCGTTTAATATTAGGCTCTCACAGAAAGACTGGACGTTGTACTTCTGGAAAAAGCTGAAAGTCAGCAGCAATGCATAGCTCTGAGAAAAGAAAATACTCAAATAAAGCAAGAAGGGGAGGTATTGAAAAGACCCATGGAATATTACAAAAATATTTCAGAATTCTGTTTATTTTCTAGGTTTGCTTGTTGTGTTTTTAATTTTGACCTTTCTCTTCACTTACCTTTGTTTGATCTTTTAAAAAATCTAAAGGCTTCATATATGAAAGCATATTTTCTCTGTACCTCCTAATCCATAGTAATAAATATAAAATTCATATGTACATCGTCTAGATCCACAGCTGCAAAAAGAATTCAGTCTCTGCATTAGCAGCCTACATATGTTATGGCTTCAGTCAATCATCTCTGTCTTTTCATGGGAGATAGGAGGTTTACATTTAGATATTCATAAGGAGCCTGTCAGCCAAGGCATCTATCCTATATCAATAACCTCAATTAATAATAAAATAAAGAGTGAATTGCTTGTGATTGATGAACAGTGTTATATTCCAGATACTTGAATTTGATGTACTAAAAGTAATTTGATCTTTAATATGTTATTAGGGTAGTTGCTAAAGCTGAAGTCTGTCATGAACATTTTGTGAAATTATTCCGGTAAACATGATTTAAGACTTAGTTTTCCTTTCTCATTCTGCAGATGTTCCTGTACTCTGTAGTGTTTGAATTGTCTTAATATAGTTAGAGATTTAAAAACTATAGCAATTTTTAAGACTAAGGACTCCTATATTTTTTAATTTGTTATTGTAAACAGTTCATTTGAAAATTCTGTGTGCTAAATGACCAGTATTTAATAACTTGCTTGTTTGTTTAGGCTGCAGTGGCAAAGACAGAAGAATTGCAGAAGCTACTGGAACAATCAAGTATTGACTCTCTGGAAGAAATAAAAGCTTTGAAGTGTGAATTAGCAAATGCACAATGCAAGCACAATGAGGATTTAAAAAAGCTGAAAATGGAATTAGATGAACAAGTGAGAAAACAAATGGAGTTGATGGAACAGGTTGAACATCATAGTGACAGTCAAAAAGAAGTTACAAGATTACAAGATGACATCCAGAGAATTAAATCTACTTACGAGGAGCAAATTTTGTGTCTGAGCAAGCAGTTGGAAACTGTGAGTGAAGACAAAACCAAAGAAGTAACAAATCTGCAAGAAACTATTAAAAACAACTCTCAGTGTTACCATAATGAAATCAAAAATCTGAATGAAGAGCTTGAAAAATTAAAAATTGCCCATCAGGAAGAGGTGTCAGAATTGATGCATCGGATTGAAATATCATCTAAAGAAAATGAAGAAAAGCAAAATCAAATAAATGAGTTGCAGCACAATTTGGCAGAGAAAAATGCAAAGAATGAAATGCATGCTCATACTGACCAGCATGAATACGACTTGGAGCAGCTGAGAGAAGTCTTAAATAAAAATGTAGAAAACAGGATAGATGTTGCAGATACACCAGAAGAACCTTGTGTAGAAGCAAAAATGGAAGCAAAGGTTAGGTATCTGGAGCATAGTTTGGAAGAACTCCAGTCCCAACATAGTATATTAAAAGATGAGTTAACTTACATGAGCAATGTCAAACTAAAGCTGGAAGAGGAAATCCATCGCATAAAGGAGGAGTACTTTCATGAGCGGGAAGATCTGGATTTTAAGATAAATGAATTGCAGCTTACTAAAGAAGATTACTGCAGTGCAATTGAAAAACTAAAATTGGAGCTTCAAGAATCAAGACAGCACTATGAATCTGCTGTAAAAGAGCATAAATTAGAGATTCAAACTCTGAAAGAGCAACACAAGACAGAAATTTCTGAATTGAATGAAACTTTATTATCTGGTTTTGAAAAAGAAAATAAGGTATTAGTTTTTGAAACACAGGAGCTTAGAGAACAACTTGAAAAGCTAACTCAGGAGAAAGAAGAAGCAGTGTCCAATTACAACAGCCTGAGAGAAACAATGGAAACTCTCCAGGCTGAGCTAGGCGAATCTGCTGGAAAGATCAGCCAGGAGTTTGAATCAATGAAACAACAGCAAGCTTCTGATGTCAGTCAACTGCAGCAGAAACTCCGAGCTGCTTTCAATGAGAGGGATGCTCTTCGTGAAACTGTAAATCGCCTCCAGGAAGAAATAGAAAAATTGCCATCCAATCAGCTAGAGGTAGAAGAACTTAAATGCAAAATTGTTAGTCTTCAGGAGGACAATAATGCAATAACAAACTCCATCAACCAAAAAGAGATTACTGTAAAAGAACTGGAAGAGAAGATTGTTGCTCTGACTGATCAAAACAAGGATATTTTAAATGATGTAAAATGCTTGGGTGAAGAGAGAGAAACACTTCAGGAAAGGTGCAAGCAAGAACAAGTTAAAATTCAGGAACTTCAGCAGGAAGTAGATGCTGCTAACCAGCACAATAATGACCTGACAAAAAAGGTAGAGGAATTAACAGAGAGATTGAATGAAGCTTTGACTACAAAGACTGAAAATGCTCAAATGCTAGAGCAACTGGAAAAACAGATTGAATCTCTGGTACATGATAGAGAGCGGCTTTCATCTGAAGTGTATAATCTTCGTGAGGAAAATAAGAAAATAATTCAGGATAAAGGTGAATTAAGTGAAGAGCTGGGAAAGATTACATGTGAAAAAGATGGTTGGTTAGTGTTGAAAGAGCAGTCTGAAAACTTAGAAAAGAAACTACAAATGATGACTGCAGAAAAAGACCATATATCAACATTACTTGAAAATGAACAAAGGCATACATCCCTTGTAAGAACTCAACTGTACCACCTACTTGAGCAAGTGGGGTCCAGCATTTCAAATTCTAATGAAGAATATGATTCTCTTAACTTGTTAAAAATTGCAAATGAATGCTTGTCAAAAATCAAAGAAGAGCAGTGCCTTGCACTGCAAAATGAGGAGGAAGTAATTCGTTTGCAGCAGGAAGTTGAGAGACTAGAGGAAGAAAATGCTGCTCAATATAGAGAACACAGATCCCTGATTCAGGATTTTGAAAAAGAAAAGGCGCTCTTGAGAGAAGAACTGGAAGGAGTGTTGTCTGAAAAAGAAGCTCTTCAGCATGATATTCATGAGCTGAAGAATGCCAGTGAGAAAACAAGGATTGAAAATCAAGATCTTCTAGCTAATATTGAAGAGGTCACTCAAAAACTTGCTTTTTATGAAAGTCCTATACAAGAACAGGAAAAAGGATCAGAGAAACAAGACGACTTAAGTTTCATTCTGGAACAAAAGGAAACTGAACTTAGAAATGTGAAAGATGAACTGAGTTCTCTAAAGGTTATATTTTGTTATTGAAGTATACAGACTAAACCTCTAAAGTCTTCAGAATTAAGGTTCAAAAAATACTTTCAATTCTCTCTTTTCTTCCTTTATTTTTTTCCCTCTTGGCCTGAAAGTGAGTTCCCCTTCTGGAAAGCCCATCTAGCACCTCAAAGTCACCTCCCTGCCCCTAGGAAAAAAAAAAAAAAGAAACAAAACCAATCATAATGCTTTTTTGACAAAAGTTACTTGTACTTGAACCTTTCTTCCTATAAATAGCCCTCAAAGCGATCATTTGACTAGATGGACTAACTGACCTCATCATTTTTCACGTCTTAACTTTCTATGACTTCATCTCAAACAAAACTCCCGCTTGATCTCCTCCTAACTTTAGGTCATGGGAATTGCTGGCTATGTAAAACTGACAGCTGCAGAATTGATGGTCTCCCATTTTTTCCTTGGACAGAATGGAAAGCAGCTGTTAAAACGTTGGAATGTTTTGCTTTCAAGTAACTATGCTTTCACCAAGCTGATATAAAATTTCTCCTAAAGACTTTCTTGGTAGTAAAAATGTGGGTAATTTTAGCTGTAGCTGAAAATTCTGGTTGCTCGTTAGGGAAAAAACAGGTATCACAAAGAAATTTTTGTAATACTTCTCATATCTTTGTTTATAATACAGAATTTAATGGAGACAATGACTGAGAAAACTGATCAACAGTCTTCAGTAGCAGAGCTTCAAGAAAAAATTGGTATCTTCCTCACTGTTCTCTTTTATATAAATGGTTTGAGTCCTTTGGATTGTTTTTCTTTTCATAATTGTCCTGTATTTCCTACAAGCCAAGGAAGATGGGGAAGTAGATATCAATGCAGCTTCCTACTAGGAAGCTATTCTTTCCACTAGGGATTTAAAATATTGTTAGCAATTTTAAGTAGGGTATGATTTGATATTTCTTAAGGCTTTTTCTTCCTATGTACATCTGGCTATAAGCAATGTAGTGGATTTAGTCTTTGTTCTTTAAATATGGGAAGTGTGTGAATAAGAATTCCTAAGACTGCCAAGAGGAGAAGGAAGCAACACTTTGCCAACTCTTGCGTCATTGCAGTTATCCCAACACACTAGCAAGAAATTGGTTCTGAGTTGTTAAAATTTATGTAGAAATAGACAGGAATATGGCTCCTAATGTTAACTGTGATGGAAGCCTCTGAAACAGGGAAATTTTCTCCAGGGAAAGATTGTCCTTAAGCTGTCTGTATGTTTTAGCTTGAAATTAAATGTTTAACGGAATTGAACACTTGAACATCTCCCCTTGCTTTGTATTTTGTTTGGTTTTAAAGTCATGCTGATATTTGTGTTCTAATTGAATTTCATTTCTCGGGAAGAAATAAAAAGGTATATTTTCCTAATTTTCTTATTTATTTTTTTTTTTAGGGAGGCTGGAAAAAGAATCTGCAGAAAAAGGAGAGAAGCTAAACAAAATTAAGGTTGTTGCTGTGAAAGCAAAGAAAGAATTAGATACCAGCCGAAAAGAGGTACCTTGACTGTTTCCTAATATGAAGAACATTTTGCATGTGGTGTTCTGTTTTAATGACACAACTTCTTTTTAAAAAGATGCAAGCTCTGAAAGAAGAATTGGAGTTGGTTCGATCAGAAAAAGATCAGTTGTCTGCTTCAATGAAAGAAGTAATTCAAGGAGCTGAAAGCTATAAGGTAAGAATAGTACTGCATTTACAAAAGACAGTTAACTATCAGAAAGGTGGTACAAGACAAGACAATAGTCTTAAACTGAAATGAGAGATTACAGCTGGATACATGGATAAACATTGTTAGCCTATGAGATGGTTGAGCTTTGGAAGAAGTTGCCCAGGGGAGTGGCACCATCTCCATGCTTGGAAAGACCTGATTGGACTAAGCTCTGAGTTATGAGGTCTGATCTCACTGCTGACCCTACTTTAAGCAGAAGGTTGAATGTAGACCTGCTGAGGTCTCTTCCAACCTGAATTATTCTAGAATTTCATTACCTGAAAAGGGTTTCTCCCAGAGTTTGTGGTGGAATAATAGCATTAATTTCACTGCGATGTTTCTGTTGTTGCAGTAAGACAACTCATATACTGAAATATCAGGAAGATAGGTAGGCCTCTGAGATGCATGTGCTTATGCAATATATATATTGTAAAAAAATTTGATTTTGTGTTTGTTAAGAATCTTTTGATGGAATATGATAAACAAGGAGAACAGCTGGATTCTGAAAAAGGCAGAGCAAGTAATCTTGAACGTCAGATAGATGACCTCACAAGACAGCTGCAGGTGTCATCCCAGCAGGTCAGTTCTGTATGTGGGTCTGATATATTGACAATTACTGTAAAAATCCTATCTTTTGAGTGTAAGTTTTAATCATGTCATTGTTAGTACTGTTTTGTAGCCTAAGTCTGTCTTGAATAGTGACTTGTAATTCAGAGTGGTTTGTTTGTTCTTTTTCAACATCTGCTATCTTGCCTGGGCCATGACAAAGGTAAATATATCTAGGGTGTTTGGCTTTGTCAGCAGAAGGAGGTTAATCTGCTCCAGGTCAACTTACAGGAAAGAGCAGGTGTTTATCTCTGGCTTTGTTTGGACATACAACTCTGCTGCAAGTATCAAATTTGCACTATTTGTCTGATTGCACAGCTATACTTCTCATGAAGTGCAGTAACGTTTATCTGAGAAAAGTTTTTCTTCTATTTCTTCAACAAAACGTGGGTTTGGGTATTTTTTTCTTTTTTTTTATTTATTTATATAATCAACAGAGTATTTGAACATACTAAGTTAATCATGGGGCTTTGCATTTTTCATAAGGATGAGACTTTAGGATGCAGAGTACCATAGTATCATTCAGAAGAGTCTAAGATGTTAACTAAGCAGCTGTGAGACACGTTTTTGCAAGGGTAGCTGCAATGAGTTTGGTATTTAGGATTTAAACTCCCAGGCCCCATACACTGAAGATTTAGCTAGGCCACCATTTCCTTATAAACACAAACCAGTAGTGAGAAACGTAGGAAGAAATAAGAAATTATATTCTGCCTGATTATGCAGGCATTGAATTTTTCAATTTTGTTATGAAGAAACAGTTTTTACTATGTACTGATATCATCTCTTGGAAAAACTTGGTGGTTCAATAAGGTTTGCAGTTCAGTCTTTTTTAGGTGTTAGTAGTATGATCATTTGTTTATAAATACAGCATCTGTATCTGGAGTGGGACAGTAAGTATTGAAAGAAGTGTTGTATTATTGCGAGAGGAAGGTGATTCTTGCAGAAAGAATAAATGTGGAGGTATTTTTTTCAGGTTTCTTTTAATTCTAGCCATCTTACAGAAAGCTGGGCAAATTAACTCTGAAGAAAATAATCAAAATGTGCTAGTGACTTTAATTTAACCTCGTTTTAGCCTGTTAATCTGGTTTAAAACAGTTAAGCTGGACAAGACTCATCTGTAGGACTGTATATCTTATCTGACAAAAATCACACACAAATTCAGCTTATGTTTTTATCTTTCCACGATGACAATTTCAGCATGATCAATTACGCTCTGCTAATGAAGACCTCCTGGCTCGTGTTGAAACACTGCAAAATAATGCTAAGCTGCTGGAAACTCAGATATTGGAGATGCAAAAAGCCAAGGCAAAGGCTGACAAAGAACTAGAAGCTGAAAGGCTTTTAAAAGAACAGAAAACAAAGGTAGTACTTTGTCAAGATAGTGAATGGGCTGAAGCGTTACTTTCACTGGATGTGATTTCTGTTAGACCTTGGCAAATTGTGGTTTTATAGATCAAGTTCCATGCTTTCTCTTCGTGTTACTTGACTGTCTCTTTTGAAAACCTGGTCCGATCACTGAAAGAACTTTGCAAGGCTGTCACTTGGAATAGACTGGGGGGGGGTGTTACAGAATGTGAAAATCACTTCATAATCTTTTGAGGTTTTTCTCTGGTTCCTAGTAATTTCCTGAAAAAAAGAAAGAATTATCTTTGTGCAACCTAAGCATGTGTGTCTATAAGTATAAACAGATACTGACATCTATTTTGAAATTGGACTGCATAACTGAGAAGTATTTCAATTTCAGGAACATAGTGGTGCTCTCCGAGAAATGGAGGAGCTTCAGATGCAACTTCAGAAGGAAAAGAAACTTCTGCAGAAAACTATGCTAGAACTAGAGCTGGCCAGAAAGGTAGGGCTGGTGTTTTTGTTAGTACTTAGTGGACTGCCAAAGATTTTGGCCTATCTTGCTGTGTTGAATGTCCTCCCTTTCTGGAGGATTGTAAAGCCTGAGGTGTGTAAAAGGGAAAACGTGAGAGCTTTTGCCCCTGGTTTTGTACTGGAGAGCTGATGTGTACTTTTGGATTTGGTTTTGTTGGGTTTATTTTTTATTTTTGTTTGTTTGTTTGTTTGTTTTAACTTGGGTTATGTGGCCTGTCATGGGTAGAAGTAGGAAGAGAATTTAGATGTCTAGGGTACATGTATAGTGCACTGTTCAGAAATTGCCCTTGTTTAAGGACTGAAACTGACAGAAACTAATATCTACAAAATACCTAGTGATAAAACTTAAAGATAGAAACAGGTTTTTCAAAGCTTCAGGTTATTGTCAGAAAACAGATTATTTACTGAGCGTATGGAAACCCGATGGATGGGTGTTGCTGGTGGATATGGATAGTGAAAAAATTTTTGTTAGATGTGCAATATAGTTTTTTATATATTTAAAAAGCCTGAGCAGACAAAGCAAATCGTAAGCTCTACCTTCATCGTGTGTAACTTGCAGGATGCTCAGAAGAGTACACTGATGGATATGGAAATAGCTGATTATGAAAGGCTGGTAAAAGAACTTAATCAGAAGATTACTGATAAAGACAGCAGAATAGAAGATCTTGAGCAAGAAACAAGTATTCAGAAACAGAAGCAAGAGACTCTACAGGAAGAAATAAGTGAGTAAACTATCAACAGCAAGAGTCACTATGGTATAGTTAATAATGGTAAAAAATGCAATTCAGAAACATCTTTTCAAGTCAATGAGTGAGAGTAAGATTTGCAGGGAATACTAAAGAGTTACACTGGAAAAGTAATTTTGACTTTAAGGAAAATTTACTAGGTTATCATCCAGTATTCAGCAGTTAAAAGCCAATTTGCCTGCCTGACATACTGTTTCTTACCTGATTAAGTTAATCATAAGTTCTGAATGTTGGTGATGTGTTTCATTCTAATATACCACATTCATAAAACTTTACTAGTTAGCATGTGGTTAAAATTTAATTTCTTCCTATCCTTAAGTATAAGTCTTAGAACCATTCCATTTATTTGACAATCTTTGTGTTAATTTAGACAAAGGATACTAAACTTACCGTAAGCTACTTGTTTGCAGCTCTTAAGGAATCTGTCAGAATTTGCTTAAATATTTTTCAGTATTTTTAAGGAAATACAGGAGGGGATGTTTCCTTTGCATAAAAATGTTGTTTTCTGCATTAGAATTCCTTCAGTCAACTATGCAACAGGATGAGGAAAGAAATGCCAAGATAAAACAACTCCTGGTAAAAACCAAAAAAGAACTGGCCGATTCAAAACAAGCTGTAAGTCCAGATGTTAATGACTGTGTGTTCCATTTTTAAACTAATTTTAAAAAACAGGCTGGTAGCTGAATTATTAAGTTGCTGAGGTTCATGTAGTTTTTAATATCCAGGTAATTTTATCTTGCAGGAAAATGATCATCTAATGTTGCAGGAATCATTGAAAGGGGAACTGGAAGCCAGTCAGCAGCAAGTGGAAGCCTATAAGGCAAGAAACTTCACTTTTTTTTAGTGTAAGGTTTTTCATTTAAGTAATACATGTGTGCTTTTTATGGGCAAATGGAATATAGAATGAAGAACAAAAAGGTGTTATTTTTACTACTAAGTTATTGTTTCTTCAATTAGTTTTGTCTGTTTATTGCTTTTCCCAGATATTTTCCCTGTGGCTTTCTTTAAACAGATTTGCAGTCTTTTTCCTCTTTCCCTTTCCATCAAAGGAGAGGACTGCGGAGTTTGAAGCTTGCAACTGGGATATGTTTCAAAATGATTCTTTAAAATGGAAGTTATTAAATTTAAAAACAAAATAACACAACATATCAAAAATCTTAAGTGTTGTCTGTCTGTATAAATTTTGTTGGTTGGGCAGAATAGGAATTGAATGTAATGAAAGTAGCAGGGAAGTGAGAGAGGCTGGCTTTCTTACATGCTGTCACACCACCATCATAAATTTATCTTGAATTGTCTGTTTAAGCAACATAATTTTATTAAAAATTATTACATGGTAACCCATGTCTATTTTTTATTCTATTTTTATTGGATTTTAATTTTCTATTCACAAATTCTGTGCAGGAATTACTATAGTAGAATCCTCTGTTCTCAGTGGCATGTCTCCTTGGAGAAGAAAACCTTTTGTTATAGTTCAGTTTTCAACTGACTTTTTCAGATTCAAGTGGCTGTTCTGACATCAGAAAAGCACAAAGTTCAGGAACAGCTGCAAACGTCTTCGGAGCAACACCAGCGTACGATGAGTGCTTGCCAGCAAAAAATTGCAACCCTGCAAGAAGAGTGCAGAGCAGCCCAGGTACTCTAGTGGGAGAAGTAATCTTAGAGACTTTAGAAGGGAGGTTTACTGCACTCGCTGTCTGCTTCTCTAAAAATACTTTGCAGACCTTACTCTTTCCTTTTTCTCTGTCAAGAGCTGGGAATTATCCCAGTGCTTAAGGTAACTGAGTGGTGATATAGAGGACAGGCCAAACTGTGTCCTGGTTGTCATGCATCACTTGTGGAATATCTGGACTGCACACTTATATTTCCAGCAGGGAAAACCTTTCAGTGGTAGTGAGGAGATGGGATTGTATTTTAGATGGTCGGCAAGTATACACTCAGGGAAAAGAGAAGTCTTTTAAGAAAATGGGAGAACAAAAAAAAGGAATATAATTTGCTTCATATAAAACCAGCAAACACAGATACCACTTCAAGAAAAAAAAAAAGTTGTGAAAAATATTTGCCAGCACCCTTTAATATGCTGAAATCTGAGCAGCTTCTTAATTGGCGGCTGAACTACATGCAAAACTTACGCTATTGCTGAGGGGTTTTTATTATTTATTGGGTTTTTTGTCCATATGGCACTGTATTATATGTTCCTACAATGTAGTGTTTGCATTGGAGACAGATTCAGAATATAGTAGGACTGCTATGTTCAAACTACCTTTATGGAGATTACTGTGCTACTTTATGGTCTCTGTTGTATGATGGGTATGCAACCTGCAGGTAAGTAATAGCTGAACTTTACAAAATCCTCCTTTTGAAGATGCGAACATTTTAGTTATCTTGGGGATGACTACTGAACCTGAGAGCTTGTCCTAAGATCCAAAAAAGAAAATGTGCATTTGTGGCTTTTCTAGAACAATATATAAAAAAGGAAAACAGAATTATCCCCCCTTTTTTTTATTTCACCTTTGCTGTTGACAGAACCCTTTGCTTTTGAATCTCTCAGTTGAATGCAGTTTTTGAATTTTCAGATATTCTTTCTTTTCTTTAATACTAGTATGTTGAAAATTAGTGTCTCAAGTTTCTGTTTTGTGATACTCAAATTCTAAAGAAACATGATCTCTTATGGTAGTCACTGTTTTAATTATCCATTTAAAAGAAGAAAATGCAGCATGTGGTTTTAATTTTTTTTCCCCATGTAAAATGCATTTCATTTTAGAGAAATAAGGGAGCAGTACTCAACAGCATAACTTGTTAACAGTTTGTTTTCTATGTGATAGGCTGAACAAGCATCCGTTACGTCGGAATTTGAGAGCTACAAAGTCCGTGTTCATAATGTTCTAAAACAGCAAAAGAATAAATCTGCTTCTCGGACCGAGTCTGAAGGAGCCAAACAGGAGAGGTAAAACTAAAATTTCCATATGCATACAGAAAAATATGGATACTCAAAGTTACTGAGCTTGCCTTTGCTAATTTCTGGCCAACAAGGGAATTCCACTAATTGACTCTTTGCTTTGATATGGAAAATATAAGAAGGGTGGCAGTGTGCTTCCCCAGTTACTTTGGTTTGAATTTTTTTTATTTGGTTGGTTTGGCTTGGGTTGTCTTTTTTTAATCCAACTGTGGCTCTGCCTAGCTGGTACAGTTCAGCTGAGTTCACTTTGAACTTTTTCAGGAATGAGTGGTTTAGTGTAGGTAAAGTTCTGGCTGCAAATTCAGTCATCAGTTCCAGCAGATTTATGAAATACTGTTGTCAAATCAGCTGCTGCATGAGGAAAGACTTGGTGGAAAACGTTACACTTCCAAAAGGTCTGTGAAAATCCTTTTAATTATAGTAATAAGACAGGTAAATTCAGATTCACTTTGGAAAGTGGCTCAATTTAAATATATAAGTCGATCAATTTCTGTGAGTTACTGGTATAAGTCATTGATGGCTGCCCTTGGTGACAGACTGGGCGTTTCTATGTGAGATGTCAAAATTCATTTCTGACCATCTTCAAACAGTACCTACAATTGCAGCCAAAAATCCACCAGAGGGCGACTTGTGCTTTGTTAGAGGACTTTGGTTTTACAGTTGTTTTGGGGTTTTTAAAAACATTCCTGTTTTTGAAGCAAGTAAACTGCAACAGTTGCTTTTCTCTGTCTTGCCTCTTTGAAGAATTTTAAGAAGTTCTAATATTGTTATTTTTTTGTCAGAGAGAGTCACCTTGGAAACAAATTGGTCAAGTAATAAACATATGACAAATGGTTCCAAAGAAATAATTTGTTAGTATCAACTCTAAGATTAATGAAATATACAATTCATGAGATAATGGAGATGTCTGCATATATAAATACAGAAAGCATAAAAGGAGAATATATATGACTTAAGACTCTTTATTCTTTGTGTATCTGATTTTGATTTGTTTCTGACCGAGTTTCTCTGTTTTTATAAATTTAATGTTGCTTCCTAGTACTTTGCTCAAAATATACTCCAACCATTTGTCCCCTGTATTTGGTCTCATTGAACTGATGTGCATTTACTAAACAAACCAAAAGGAGCCTCTACCACTTCTAAGAAGAAACCTTTTCTCCCAGCTGAATCCCACGTATTATTCTCCTTCTGTCTTGTCCCTCCCAACCAGCTTGAAGTAGAAAGTGATGTCAGTCACTCTTTCTACCCCAATAGTTGCATTCCCAGCAGTTCAGATAGGACATGGTAAACCTATTTGTGCCTATATTGAAACAGGATCAGAACTTTGCTAATTGCTTCTTCTGTAGTCACATTCTAAGATATTTTGGTCATGGTGCTGTATTGATTTAATTAATAAATAGGCAGTTTGGATCAGCTGTCCAAAATGTTGTGGATATTGTATAGATTCTGAATTATTCTGTAATTATTTTTAAATGTATGTCGTGTATTTCTTTTTGTTTTCCACATGCAGAGAACAGTTGGAAATGGTGATAGATCAACTTAAAGTTAAGCTGCAAGATGCTCAGCACAACTCACAGTTGAATGCATCTGAACTCCAGGCACTGCAGTCTGAACACGACACCCTGCTGGAAAGACACAATAAGATGCTGCAAGAGACTGTTGCAAAAGAAGCAGAACTCCGTGAAAAGTATGTTCTGCTGGTGAATAGACACAGATATTTTGTGTGAACTTTAAGAACTGTGCATGTAGTGGTGTATAACTGAATTTCTCAAAGAAAGGGCACGTTATTGAGAAAGTTAAAGGAATTTTCAAAAGGATTGTTTGCTATTTTTCATAAGCCATCAGAAGTTTCAATAATGAAAATGAAATAGTAGCTGATAAGGGAATTTGAGATTTCTGCAAGCTTTCTCTCTCTTAACCATCAGATTTAAAATTTAACATTTCTTAAGCACACTTACTATTTTAAAATCCAATGCTCAGCACTACATTTATGTTGTACTGCTCAACTAAATTTTAGGGATGTTTCCTATTTAAAAAGTAAGGTAGTTATATGCAGAGCAAACAGTTTCTCTGACAAAATATCCAGTCCTGTGTTCACCAACTGCCTTTCTTTCAGAAAGTACTAAAGTACTGGATTTTAAGGCTATGCTTGCCACAGTCTTAATTTGCTGTTTCATTCAAAATGAAAGGAATCTGTTTAATCTGTATCACATCACATGAGTACCTCGTACTTGAGCTCCTCACAAAGGGTCTTTCCCTTGTCCGTAGAGGGTATGAAGAGGTTCACAGGAAATATTCAGTAAAATTTATGGCTTGGTATTAGGAACTGTTGACTTCTTGTCACCATCTTTGTACAATTTTATCTGTTCCTGGTAGCCAGGTGATGGCCCACTGTAATCAACCAAATTATGTCCTGCATTTTTCTGGAAACAACCATTTTACAGTAGGTTCCCTTTATACCTGGAGGGACTGCTCTTTGACATGCTGGCTCTGTTTAAGTCTTTATGCTTACAAGGGCAAGTCCTGTGCTTAGTCTTTCCATACATCCACTTGTTTAATTGCTTGTGACAATTCTGTTGTGCTTCTGGAGTAATTCCAAACAAACAAACAAAAAACCAAACCAACAATTGGTGAGTTACTGACATTTTTCTTGCTAACAGCTACACTCTTCTGCCCTCTTCTGCCCTGAAAGTTGAAGCTTAAAAAAATTAAACTTAGCTTCTTAGAAACCTGTGTTTTTCAAAGTCCTGCATAAGTATTTGGTAAATAAATGTTATAAGAAGTGGAGTAGAAGGTAAATGACATGCCCTGTATGACACTATAACCAGTCATGTTGCAATTTTAGAATTTAAGAAGGTTTAGAGCACAGTGTCTCTAATCCTTACTTTTTTTTTTTCCCAAATATGTCTGAATTTTATGTTCTAAAATAGAAATCAGGAGTTTCTATAGCACAGTGCATTCAAATGATAGGTAATCAGCATATCTTTTTCAGTCTTAGATTTCCCCTGTAAAAAGAGGAGTTTAAATGGAAAAAAAGTTGCATGGTCATTCTAAGATAATCGTACACATGAAAACTGAAAGCTGCTTCAAACTCTAAAAATTTTGAAATTTAAAAATTATAGTGTTTTGCTGTGTATGCTGTTTTCAGACTCTGCACAATACAGTCTGAGAACATGGTCATGAAAACAGAGCACGCACAGATGTTGAGTCAGCTGACAGCCCAGAATGAAGCTCTCCGGAACAATTTCAGAGATCAAGTCAGGAACCTGCAAGAGGAGCACAGGAAAACAGTAGAGACACTTCAGCAGCAACTCTCCAGAGTAGAAGCTCAGCTCTTCCAACTCAAGAGTGAACCAAGTACTAGAGGTAACTTCCAGGCACAGTACCAGGGTTTCTTGAGTTAGTTACAAATCTGTGCACCTGAGTCTGAATCTAAAACCTGCTTACAGTGTGTGATTCTGTAAATTACCAGAAACCTTTTCCGGAGACACTGCAGCATGCCATGTCAGTCCACAGATACCAAGTAAGGAATGTGTCTTTTTTATTACTTACTGTCCCTTCAGAATCTTAAAGGTCCTTGAATACATCCATGGGAGGGCAACAAAGCTGCTGAAAAGGGTGGAAGGACTGTCCTATGAAGAGTGGCAAAGAACTCTGGATTTGTCTAGTCTGCAGAAAAGGAGGGAGGGGCAACCTCATCACTGTCTTAGAGATTCCCAAGGAGGGGAAGCAAAGAGGGAAATGCTGAGCTCTTCTCACTGGTACCCAGTGATAGGATGTGTGGGAGTGGTTCAGAGCTGCCCTGGGGGAAGACTCAGACTCGATGTTAAGAAGTATCTCCTTACTGAAAAAGTGGTCAAACCCTAAAACAGCCCCAAGCCTGTCAGTGTCTGAGGCATTTGGGCAATGCTCTTGGTAACTTTTGGTCAGCCCTGAAGTGGTCAGGCAGTTGGACGAGATGATCGTTGTAGGTCCCTTCCAATCTGCATTACTGTTATCTATTCTATGTCAGCATTGTCAGACAGATGAAGGGAAATTACTTAGGTTGTCTCAGGTTTTGGAGCATACTGGACATCTGCCTCAAGTATGAGAGGTGAAGCTAAAGAGAAGTGTATTGAAAGCTGTTTCAAAAAGGTTTGTTATTGGTATACTTGCCATTTGATCCCTCTTCTAATTTAAGATTTTACCGTCTTCAGGCTCAAGTGTTATTTTTGTATCTGTAAAGTTACTAACCTGGATGTAGTTGGACATTTGCCAAGCAGCAGTAATAGTTTAAGAAGTTAGTCTATTACTGAAGCAGAAGGTCATGCACACAGTATTAAAACAGAAGACTTTATGCCTCCCATAGGACTGGTTGAAATAAAAGCTAATTCTGTTATGCTTTAAAAATATTTGGCACTCTGATCATAGTTACAATGCATCTTCAGGGAGAGTTGCACAAAGATTTCATAGTCACTGAAATAAAAATTTGCTAATAAATTTTAGGTGTAGAAACAGGCTTTGATCGCAATGATCATTTGGAGGTGAAAGGCTGTATTTTTCTACTGTAAATGTTATGTGTCTGGCTTTCTCTTTTTTCTTCAACTGCATTCTGAAGACTAGTTCGTGTACTGCTCTCAGTCTGAGACAGTCACATCTATGAAATAGCCCTCCCAATTTCATTCTGATGACAAACATCAGGAAGTATCTTTCAGGTCCAGCTGTTTCAAATCCAGGAACGAAGAACTTGAGAGAACGGAGAAACACTGACCTTCCTGTCCTTGATGTGCACACTGTAGCTAGGGAAGAGGGAGAAGGTATGGAAACAACAGACACAGAGTCTGTCTCTTCAGCCAGCACCTATGTACAATCCTTGGAACAACTTCTGAACTCATCAGAAGCAAAACCTGGTAGGTAGAACGTGGCTTTTAGAAGCACTTGCCTACATAAGTTGCAGAAGTTTCTTCCCTCGTATTTTCATGCTTTTAGGTGCAAGACACAAGTCTGCTTGAGTGCCACTGAATTTACACTGTCCTGAATTTCTGTAGGAGTTTTGTTCTTAAATAAGGATTAAACTTGCTGCTGTAAAATAAAACATTGGTACAGGTTTTAGTAATTTTAAAATGTCATATTTCTGAGTTTCTAAAGGGAAGAGACTGGATGAGCAAGCGAGTGAATAGTTGCAGAACTTTTTTGTATTCTGAATGAGTCTATACTAGGGACAATTAAGTGCTAATTTAACCTGATTAATGAAAGGATAAAAGTTCTGTTCATCTCAATGAGGCTAATTAGAACAGGAATTTATTGATAGGTTTCTTTCAAGGAAAATGAAAGCCATCATGAAGAACAATCTTCTAAGAGTAGCCCCAAAACGAGAAAAATACATGGTAGCATCTAATCATGACTTAAAGATCTACTGAACAGTTTGTAGATAACTGTTGAAAATCTATATCTATGGGTAGGAAACAAGAGATAATTAAGACCGTATATCTTGATGTACTCTAGAACTGTTTTGCCAATCCCCTTCTAATATATAAACAAAAATAGATCAGAAAATAAGCATGCAGCAGCATCACTGATGACTGCAGCCTGACTTTGCATGAATTCTGTTTATAAGGAACTACATTAATGAAGTCCTGATGTTAAGTTAGTATGAGGTAGATGCAAGTGCTTTTTCCTTCTCTTAGTTTTCTTTCCCAATTAATTGCAGAACCATCTCAGTGGCAAGCAGAACTCACCAAGGATGAACTGATTCAGAAACTAAACACAACAGCAAAGAGTGCTGATCACTTGAATGAATTACTTCGTGAATCAGAAGCAACCAATGCAATCTTAATGGAACAAATAAAGGTTAGGAGACATGCAAGAGATGTGAGGACAGCTCTAATTTCCACAGTCTGTTTCTTAGACCAAATATTTAACACCAAATGTGTCAGAAAATCCCAGCCTGTAAAATTTTGGTGATCAGAATTTAATTTTGTAGGAGCTTTTATTGCATAGGCCTAATTAGCATAACTAGGAAGCACAACTGCTTCCAAAGTTGACTTCAGTTTTTGGTTTTGGTGGTTGTTTTTTTTTTTCACCTCAGTTTCTACTTGGGTGGGAAGGCGGGGGAAGGGGAAGGGGAAAGGAGTGGGGAGTAAAACCTTCCACAAAGAAACCTCAAGAGTTTGTAAGTTTAACATTTAGTAAAGGGGTCTCTACTGTTTTCACTTAGACAAAAGCAGTAAGCCCCAAGGGAAGCATTGTCTGGTTTCTCTTCCTGTAACCCCTTTTAGCTGTCTTACTTTAAAAGAAGATACATGTACTAATGTCTGAGTTTGGTTTGATTTGATTACACTTCTCTGAGTTTTCTGAAGACATTTCTGAAGTTAGCATATTCCTTGAATATGCTTGGCTTTCTTTTCTGAATTGTTTCCTAATGAATGATATCATCAGTTCTCTTGATTTATTTAACTGTTCTACTCTTACTACTCTTTATTGCTGAAACTGTTGTAACTATTGCACAGATTTTATCAAAAAAGGTTACTTTTGATCAATAATAAGTTATTTCTGTACAATATTATCACAAATTCAATTTTCACTGGATTTTTGTTCTGAGTATGTTGTATGCACACATTCTTTTTGAAGCAATATGTGCAATTCATTTATTAGGTCTTCAAAAGACCTTTGTTCAAACAATATTGCATATTTTTCCCTCATCTGCAGCTTCTTAAGAATGAAATAAGAAGACTGGAAAGAAATCAAGAGAGAGAAAAGTCTGTGGCTAATTTAGAATACTTGAAGAATGTTCTATTGCAGTTCATATTTCTAAAATCAGGAAGTGAGAAAGAGCGGCTGCTCCCAGTAATAGACACCATGTTGCAGCTCAGCCCTGAAGAGAAGGGGAAGCTGGTTGCAATTGCCCAAGGTACGTGGTGTTCAAAATATTGTCACAAAAAAAAGGAGAAGTGGATATAAAGGCAACTGAAGTTCTGTGCTTTCTGTTGTGTAGACCTTTGAGGGAAAACAAAACTTAGCAACAATATGCTAGCAGGCTAATCATAAAACCATTTTGCTTTGTTGGGAAGTTACTATTCAGTGTTCAGGAAACAGAACAAATACCCTAAAATATAAATAAAATTAAGCTAAAATATAATTTCTTCTGAAATACGCACATTTTAGGAAGATTATAGTAAGTTCCAGAAATTTAACGTGTTCATGTTTTGAGTAGAGTTAAAAAAAAATTTTGTCAAAATAGAGGTTAGTATAATTGAAATACTGACTTGGCAGATGTTCCAAACTAAAGCAGTCCTCTCAAGGCAGTACGGCAAACCTAATATTAGTTTCTATATATTAACTTTAAAAATATCTTAAAGAAAATATGCTTTTTGTTCGAGAAATTAAGGAACTAGGGAAGGAAATTAAGAGTTAAGCATTTGCAAGAAATGAACACAGGAGCTATGTGTACAATAATGTTCTGGTTCTGCTTCAAATACTCTGGGCATTTGCTCCCTTAAAACACTTCTTAAGGTATTGTTTGTCACTTCTCAAAAACAGTAACTGTAGCTTCGTGTACATCATTAACAACAGACCTATACTTTATTTAAAATTTAATATAAAGAATAAGCACCATGTGCATATATTACTTTAAACACTTGCAACTTGTGAACAAAATCGCATAAAAAAGAGAAGCATTAAAGTACTGCATTCCATGATAGGCTGTGCATTTGGAATAATTAGATGTTTTGATGTTGTTCTGGCTCCCTAATGAAGACTGATTGAATTTTTGTGGAGAAAGGGGATAAATAGCCTTTTTTCAAACATCCTTAAGTACCCAAAGTAAAGTGGACTTGGTGATAAAATCCATGAACCTATTGGTGGCAGCCCAAGAGTGAGTTCCCTCCTCAACAGGTTTGAGGACAGCATTTGAAAATGGATAAAGGTCGGGGGGGCCAGGGCTGGGGCAATGTCATGTAACCAAATAATGCAATGTCTAACAGAATAAACTGAAATGTTTTTCTTCGTCCTTCAGGTGAGGAAGAGAGTACCTCACGGCCCTCTGGGTGGGCTTCGTACCTCCACAGCTGGTCAGGACTTCGATAAAACAGTGGAAACACTGGATCTTTAAACACATTCCACAACTGCAAAAAAAGAGAAATCTTACTGTAGAAAATCTGTTGGTGTTGTAGTGTTGAACTACAGGTTTTTATTTTTGTGTGTTACTTTCAGTTTTCTAGGCTCTTCTTAGAAGCCCACAGTAGCCCTGAAAGATGGTTCTACATTATGGTCTGGCAACAGTGAACCATTTTTCTTGTAAATGTTAAAGCTGATTATAAGAACTATGAGAAATGACAAATTAATTGCAAATTGCCTGGAAACAGAATTTGACAAACCTGTAATGGCTCTTTTGATATCAATTTAAAAACTTGATCTAATATATAAACTGGAATAACTAGACTTTAGATTTAAAGTATTTTAAAGGGTTTACAGTTGCTTTCACGTATTGTTGTCAGCTAGCTAATCTATATGGTTAGTGTTATACTCTGCATGTTTCAGAAATTTAAAATTATTTCCTCACTGGTGATGGTTACAAAATGTAAGATAATTAAGAAACAGAAAGGGCATTTTCTGAACTAAAGTTTTAGTCTTGGTTAATTTTTTTTTTTTTTTTTCAAAAGCTAGATTGAAATATCAAGGCGATGGTTCACAAAATGTAGCAAGTGCATGTATCTCTATGAAATACAATGCTTGGCTCACCTGATATGGTATTGCAGTAGAGATTAATGACATTTATGGAGGTCTTAGGGTATGCTCCAAGACTCAGAGATCCTAAGTCAGCTGAAGCTTTTGGAAAAAGGGCTTAAGCTATGGCTTTTTAACCTGAATTTGGAAGTTTGTGGAAAAGATCAGGAAGAAATGGTCCATTTCTATAGCGATGTCTTTACTTAGATGAAAAGACTACCTATACTGACTTAGTCATATTGAAGACACTAAAGAAAGAATCTGAATTCATAGGTCAGATTTCTAGCATTAACTTCTAAGAGAACAGGATGGAGCTTTTATCAATAGATGCCTTTTTTGAATGGTCTGATTACTCAACAGAATGTTATGTTTTTTTCTGAGAAAAATAAATCTTTACCATCTCTACTTCTCTTATCAACACAGCACCTTTTTTTACTTTCAATTCTCTTTTCCCCTTTACAGTCCATACTACCTTTCACCATCTTAATTTATTTATAAGTTATTAAAATGCATACACATGTTTAAATCCTGTTTGCATCTCAACCAGAGTCTTTCCATACTTTTCACTTATATTTTCATGCTTTCTGTGCTGTTTTACAGAGAATCATTTCCTGGTACACATACCAATACTAAATAGCATTCTTCCTTTCCTACCTTAGTTGAGACTCTGAGGAAATGATGCTTGTTCCTTTAATATTGCCTTATTTGGGGCTGAGATTAATCTGGACATATGAACAGCAGAAAGTCAACACGTTGAGAATAAACTGTTCAGTAGTGTACTTTTGGTTTAATTTTTTGCTTCTTGTATATATTTCAGTACGCAATCAACAAAGCTAATGGACTTTACTTAGGTATTTTAATTCCTTTCCATCTTAGGCACTTTTTTTTTTTTTTCTAATTCCCCTCCAGTATGTGTTTTAACTGGAATCCTTATGGTTTGTGCTACCAGGGAAAACATCCTCTGTGAACCTTGAGATCACAGAACTGATAAGTGGCAGTGTGAGGGATGAGCCTTTTAGATGTCTCTAAGTATCAAACATGAGGTTACACTTAGGCTTTCTTTTATTAGCCTTTGGAAGGATTTACCATATCTTTAGCATTCACAATTTGCACCAAATCTCAGATGTTGAGTTCTAAGTCTATTCACAGCTGGGTTTGATTAATGTCACTCAAAAGAATGCCAAAACACAGTGAGGGGAGAGATTTGAAATATGTATAAAAATAAGTGCAAGTCGTTCTCCTGCTGTGATTTCAACAATAGAAGCAAGAGTAGAAGAGTACAGCTTTGTCTTACTTAGTTCACACTCCATTTGCAGCTGACCTGATTTAGTCTCTGCTGTTGCTGAAGACCTGTGACAAGTTCCTCGTAAAATGCACATATTTCAGATTTGTAAATTATTTAACATTTTAAGCTGTGAATAAATGTATGCAAGTAACTTATATCACTGGCTGTATTAAATACCGGTTGCCTATTGACTTCTTTCAAGTGTGAGTTGCATGCTCACTGTTTTTAGTAAAACTTGAGTACTGTACTTATGAATGTAGTGAACAACTTGCATTACCTTTTTTTTTTTTTTTTTTTACAATGGAAGATTGAGATCTTAACGTAGAAGTATTTTAATAACTGTTACTAAACTGTGTTCTATTGCTAAGATTGACAGGACTTACCTTTGTGGTAAGCAAATACATCAGAGTTTAATAGACATTTGCAGTAAATGGCATAGAAGAATGTGAACTGGAAGCAGGATTATTTTGCATAGAAAACTTTTTATATGTCATATATTTGCATTTGTAATGTACAGCATTGTAGCTGTGATTTGCTTTCAAAAAGCAGTTTGAAGTTTTAAGTAATACTGCTGCTTCTTGATATTCTGTGGTGCTCATTTTCTGGAAGAGCACTGTGCTAACTTTGTTTTCTGGTTCTTTTTGTTTTCTTTTGCCATGTTTGTTAGAATGTTTCCTAGAAAATATCACCCTTGCCCAAAGAGTTTATAAGCTTAGGACCAATTTTTATCTTCTATCAGTCTGCCTTCAGCCCAAACCTAAGGAGGGCATAATAATAGTAATAAGGATTCTGCTGTCACTATGCAGAGTATATTTATTAATTAAAAACAAAAAATGGGAGTAATTCAGAATTCTCAGACCTGCATGTGCACTGTGGCTGAATTTTTAACTTCCTAATGCTGACTTAGAAACAGGTTGTATACCTTTCATATATTCCCTTTAGCCAGGAGGGAGACTTATCTGTGCAAGCAAAAGTGCTCCAGTTGAGAGACAGGAAGACCAGAGTTTGTCAGGCTGTTGTGTAGATGTGGCCAGTTGTAGCTGGGGTTCAGGATGGCCAAAGAGAACCCATGTTAGAAACGATACACGGGAAAGTAGAGTTGCTTTTTTCTTTTGTGACCCTCCCTCCCCAAAGTACAGCTATGAGAATACAGGGTTAGATAATTTTCTATATTTACATTTTCCCTTGGCTACCTCCCTTCATCCCTTTGCTTTGATAGCAGGTGATATATCACGAAATTGTGGAGGAATGCTTAAAAACTCTCCTTAGTTTGTACTAAGTGGCTTTGAACCACCTGTGCTTCATTTGACTTATGCCTTGGCTTCACCCAGTGCACCAATACTTCCTCAACTACCTACTACTTCTATTATTACTGGTACTATAAAACTATCTCCCTTAGGAGCCTTGTGAATAGCAGTCACCACCCACAAGCTGAGAAACCAAATGTATGAAGAGGTTAAAATATATTTGTTGTAGTAATTTCAGAGCTGCTAGTCTGGACAGATAAGTGTTTTGGTTGGAAATAATGTTTTTGATGGCCTTTTCATGTGGCTATCACTTCAATAAAATTCATCTTTATTCAACAGAGTGCCTTTTTTTTTACCTGAATGCCTGCTCTTACCTTAGTCAGCTGCAAGGTAGAAAACAAGGGGATGATTACCAATGTATTAAAGATATTTTATGGATCTAGTATAATATAAACAGTTTTTACTTTAGAACATGATAACAGCAATGGAGTCATCTGGATGAATGGAAAAGAAATTGTTTTGTTATGGGGGGGGGTTAGATCTTTTTTTTTAAAGGCTCATTTAAGTTACTTCAAATGTGTTACTAGATTGTTACCAGCAATCTGGCAATATCTGACATGAAGGAGAGGAGGGATGCAGAAGCTAATAATGTCTGTGTTAAAAGGATTGCACTTAGTATGTTTATTTTAAGTACTAGCCACCTAATAAATTGGCACCCCCTTCTAATAGCAGTGAACTTTGAATGACCTCTTCCCTAATTCCCTGTGATAATTTTTCTTTATCTGCATAGTTGTCCTAGTGCAAAGATTAGATGTTCTATGGATGAAGAGGGAAGTGGTTGGTTTGTTTGCTTGATTTAGGTGAGTTTAGTGTGTTTATCTTCTTACCAACCATTTTTCTTAGTCTGTGTTTATTATACAAATACATGATCAGGAGGGAATCATAAGCTGTGAAAAGAAAACGTAATAAATGGATATGAGTCAAAAAGGAGCCTGATACAGTCAACTTCTAACAGCTTTCATGTAAATATATATGCTATAGGGAAGGGAAATAATAATCTGCTGCTTTTAAAACTGAATTTGATTAAAATTTGTCATATGGTTGTGCAAGGTTTAGAAGGTGTGTCTTAGATTCAGGAGATTTCTTACTGTCCTATGTCTGAGGATCAAAGCAGGATTGAATAATGAAAACTGAGAATAGTAAAGAGTAGAACTGTGCATCAGTTACTGCTCCAACAATTCAGTACACCTTGGTATTAGCAAATTGCTTATTTTTTGCTTTCAGTTAAATGCCTGTAGACTTCTTAAGAATCCAAGGTGAATGTAATCAGGGTAAAAAACAGTATGCTGTTTTGGGCATGGGCATGGGCACAGTCCCAGTCCTCTTAAATGTGTTTTAAATTCATAGACAGTGGATAGCAGCTGTATACGAGTATAGGATTTAAGCAGGGTTTATTGTTTCATTGCTTGAAAATCACAGCTTGTTCTGAGAGCAGGCAGACTTTTCCAGAGGGGAGGTACATATCAGCTCTTGGATCTCGCCCTTTCCACTGCGCAGAGCATCTCAAATATAAAAACCATAGAAACCATTACAGAGCTCCAGAAAAAAGCTTTTACTTAAATACTGCTTTACTGTTGTTATTGCCCTTTGTGGAGTTACATGCTGATGCTCAGTGTCACTCTTGCCGAGGGAAAAACGCCAATCCTATCAGTTTGGCTTTAGCACCCAAGTATTTATACGGACTCACTAAAGCTCCTCTCGCAAGTAGTTGCAGCATTTACTTAAACCTGCAGCTGCGGTAATCCAGGTGAAGCTGCCTTTGCGGGGGGACAAGTGGATGGTCCCTCCGCTCCACAGGCAGAGGGCTACAGCCTGTGGAACAGTGGAAAGAAAAGCAGCTGGTGGTGATAAACACTTAACACAGATCATGTTGTTGATGTGTCGGCTCTCTGTCCCTGCCCTAACATTCCCCACCAGCCTTTCTCCTGGAAACCGGTTAAACCAGTTGTTTGCAGAGCAGTGGGGGATAGTGGATATATCAAATGTATCTTGCAGGTGGGGGATTTTCAGGAAGAGCTAACAATGCTTTTTATAATATTCCGGGAAGGATAGGAATTGCCATGACAAAAAGCTTAAAAGAGAAAAATAACATACTAACATGAAAAATAAGAGAATTATGATAGCCAAAAGTCAATAAGTTATTTCTTAAGGGACCTGTTTTGTGGTGCTGCCATTAGCTTTTTCTTTAGCCATTACTGTGTCTGTCCAATTAGTGACCTTGTCACAAAGCAAAAATTTATGCTGCTAAATATGGAATTTTAATGATCAATTTTGCAGGGGCTTGAGATTGATCTATAAGAGTAATATCTCTGTTCTTGCACAATCTCCTTCCCTCTTTCAAGAAATGGTGACACCAAATATACTGTGTGTGTCTAAAATGCATGAAGCAGAAATCTGACTGCTTTTATAAAAAATAATTTGTTACTTGTGAATTTGTTAACAGCTTTGCTACAAATATTTAGCTGGATACCCCGTGGTCAAAAATTATTCATATTTACCCAGTCAAAGTTTCCTTCACTGTTGCTTTAACTTCATATCTTTGGAGGTATGACACGAAGAACACTGACCCCGTTTACAATTTAATTCCATTGATTGTATTAAGATAAAGAATCATGGGACTGCTCTGCTAATAAGCACTCGGAGTCAGGGTAGACTTAGACTGAATATTAGAAAAAAATTCTTAACTGTGAGGGTAGTGAGGCACAGGTTGCTGTCACTTATAGTCACAGAATCAATTATTTTGGAGAAGACCTCAAAGATCATTGAGTCCAACTGTTAACCTGGCATTGCCAAGTCTACCTCTAAGTGTTACGGCCAGCTGCAGTACAATAAATTTGGAATTCCAACAGTGATGGAAGATGTAAAATGCTCTGGAAACAAAACATCAAAAGCATATGGCTACTTAAAACTGCATTTTATGCTAGTGTAGCAGGGAGAGATGGGAGGGGAAAAAAAGATGGATTAATTTTGTGATTAATATGCCAGTCTGGAGACATGGAGTCCAAATTCCCTGCTTTGCCACATGCTTCCTTTGTGAATTTAATTTCAGTTTCTCTGTCTGTTTCCTGATTTGGCTGCTGGGGGTAATGGCACTTCTCCACCTGATGCCAAGTAAATTAGCAGCATAAAGTTAAACTTTGTGATGGGTTTGTAAGCAGAAATAAGGAGGCAGATTGCCATTTTTTTTTTTTTTTAACTCCATAGGAAGAAAATGGTCGTAGCCTTCATTATACTGGAATGGAAGGAGTGATCTTTTGAGTTTGTGGTGTGTGTTTGTGAATCCTATTAAACTATTTGCCTAAGTATTCTGGACTGAATTTTACAAGATAATTAGAATGCCAGCATGCTGTAATACTAGGTAATGAACAATTAATAACAAATAAGAATTTTTGTTTCTGCTGTACAGCAAGACACAACAAAAATTTAAATCAGACCCCAAGGTGCAAACTTGCTGCAAAGCGCACAGAGCCTGGGGAGGCAATCTGTGAAACTGAATTCCTGGCTTTTCTTCATACAGTGTTTCCAAAAGCTGCTGCTACTTAGTGTTTGGCATAAGTACATGTTTGGGGGTGCTCTCCAGCTCTCTATGAGAATGCCTTTGCTACTTCAAGATTGTATTACTAGCAGACTGAGCTCTAGGGATTTCATCTGTAAAAGCACTGGAAAACTGCACATGGTGCAATTTACTTGCCGTTAAATCTATTAATGTGCTCTCCAAAGGAAGTGCCGTAACGGCTGCACTTGTTGGCTGGCACTGCTTTGTTAATTATTTCCAGAATTTACTGTTTTGGAGTTTGCTGCCCTGGTAGTCATAGGTCTGCCCAGCCACCTCCCCCCTAGTTTCAGGCTGTGCTGGTCAGAGGCGCTGCTCCTCAGCTGGGCTCAGCTGCCAGGAACAACTGTCTTGTCCAGCTCCCCAGGAGGACTTGCAATGGGAGAGGCCCCAAAATCCTTGCAGAAGAACTCAGGTTAATTAAAAACATTCATGAAGGTGCCTACAAGTAATGGCAGACTGCCCAAAGCTGATTAGAAAAAACAAAAGGGTTGTATTACCTTCATCTGGCACAGAATGAGTACTTACTTATTTAGATGATATAAGGAAGCTCTGTTGACAGACTCATTAAAATGAGTGGGAGGTTTGGGTTTGTTTTTATTTTGTTTGGGGTTTTTGGGGGTTGAGGGTTGTTTGTTTGTTTGTTTGTTTGTTTTCGGGGGGGGGCATTTGTTTTTTAATATATTTACAGATTGGTTGAGGTTTGTAGGTGCCTCTGGAGGTCACTTGTCCAACCTCTCTGCTCAAGCAGGACCTCCTAAAGCCAGATTCCCAGGACCGTGTCCAG